CGTGAACTCTTCACAAACGCACTTGAATAGGTTGTGCAATTAATTAATAATGATCTGTTGAAACAAACAAAAGACAGATAACTTTTTGAAATATCTAGATGGCAGGAACAGCTAACCCAAATATTCAAGCTAGAGAGATATGCATAAGCTGTCATGTGATCAAGCGTATACGTTTATATCGACCAGTAAGTGATCATAATAGTACAAAGAAATATGCTAATTGTTACTGTTCAAATAACATCGTCTGTTAAGTTTATAAAATAGCGTAACAAAATTTAACCATAATCAAAGTTTCTCTCAAATATTTGAACCCCTAAAATACATATTTTATTATTTTAAAGTCTTTTCTAGTTTATGTAAAGTTTCCTGACTGGATAGAAATTGGTTATAAATGGTGAAAAGCTGGGAGCACTGGACGACCGACTCATGAATTCAACTATTAAATTACTATAATATCCACAAAACCCCTCACTGATTATAATCACCATATGTTCACTAGTAACGGTCTCCCAGAGGTATTTCCTGGAGTTCTAGTGAGAAGCCGTGATCAGTGGAGTCCAACCGGGTTCGTTATGTGATAATAACTCATTGAAGACAATGGTGGACGGTGGCGCAATTTAGTGGATTGGTTGAAGTTAAGCATGCTGGCTCAGTGGTCTAGAGGTTAGACATTCGAGCGCGAGACCGATAGGTCCTGGGTTCGAATCTTGCGAGGCAAGGTCGTGGATGTTCATTGATGAAGAGTCTCATACTAGGACGAAACGGCCGTCCAAGTTTTCCATGATGGTCTAGCTTCAATTAACTCATGAATTCAACTATTAAGTTAAATCATTAATTTATTCATTCAATAATTCTGCGCTTCTAATATTCACCAATCATAAGTACAAAGCTTTAATAACCAATGAAAAGAAATTTAAATGTTTTCATTTGTTTTTCAAATTAAAAAACAGTCTACTTTGTAATTTTACAGGATTGATTAACTGGAACGTAAGTTGTGCTAAATGTAATAGAACATAGAATATGATATTGTATATGTTTATCTCTTTTAGTTAAAACTAAATATTATCCTAAATTTAAATGAATACTGTTGTCTTGATGAACAATCAATTACCTGCAATCAAATCATCTACTTTGGAAGATGTGGCGCCGAAAAATAATGATAAACGATCTAGGGTTTTTAATATAGGGAGATTTTTGCGGAATGTAGTATCGTCTCAGATGAATTCATGAACTGATCCTAGCTAGCTTATAATTGAAAACCTGGAATCTCTTGACGGGTATTTTGTCGTAGTATGGGACTCCTGATAAGCGCATCCACGATCCCACACGCCGGGACTGAACCCAAAATTTTTGGTCTCTCATCTAAACGGTTTACCTCTAAACCACTCAACTGACACCCAACGGTGTCAATTTTTAACTTCAAACAATACACGTTACTGCTCACTTGTAATTCATTGTCTGCAGTGGATAACTGTCTCACACATTATATTTTACTGAACTCCACTGGTCATTGCTTTTAATTAAAACCCTAGGAGTTATAGCTTCAAGCTAATCACTAGTAAGCAGATGATTGTTATTAGTATGGAAGATATGTAGAGATGGTAGTGATCTAACAGTTGAAATTACGAATCTAAAATTTTATTAACTAAACAATAATTGGGGTCATAAATAGTATGACTAATTCTTAACATTAACAATGAATACTCACCATAATTCTATAAGAAAACTTTGTGAAATTAACACACCGAAGGATAATCATTAACACAAAGAGTACGCGTCTGTTAACAGTTTGATCTATTAAATTTACTTCCTTACGCCTCTTACGCCTGTAGGAGTAGCATAGGCTACCCACCAGAATCCTCCATCGAACTCTGTCCTGGTCAATCCCTTCCACTTGTTTCTAGTTGCTATTCATTCTCTTCATGTCTGTCTATAATTCTCAGAGCAATGTGTTCATTGGTCTTCCTCCGGTCCTTTTCACTTCGGGATTCCGAATTACTGCTTGCCTGGTGATGCAGTTTGGTGATTTCCGCAATGTATGCCCTATCCACCTCTAGTGTCTTCCCCTATTTTCCAAATAACTGTTAATAAATACCTGTATCTTTTTGATGATGGTCCTCTAGGTTTCAGCTCTGTACTATAGAACTGTCTTGAAATCTCCATAAAGAGTATGACTTTGACGTTGACTGGCAGTTGTGCTTTAATAGTAGGAATGCTCCTCTTACATTGCTAATATTTCCCTTTACATTTACACCAGAACCTACCTCTTCTACAACTTCTCCATCAGGTGTGACGGTAATGATTTTTGTGTTGCATTTCAGGATCTTTCTTTTGCTGTTGTGTATGTTGAAGATTACTGATATAGAGGCTGCAGCTACACTAGTTGTCTTCATCTGCATTTTTTCGTGTGTATGGGATAGAAGGGTTAAGTCATCTGCGAAGTCCAAATCTTCTAGTTGATTCCGAGCTGTCCATTGTAGTCCGTGTTTTCTCTCACATGTCGAGGTCTTCATAATCCAGTCGATCATCACAAGAAAGAGGAAACTGAAGAGTAGAAAATCTTGTCTGACTCCGCTCCTCACTCCGAATGTATTTGTCAGATGTTCTCCATGCACAAGTTTGCACTGTAGTCCATCGCATGAATTATGTATGATGTTGATGATCTTCTAAGATGCACCATAGTGTAGAAAGAGTTTCCATAAAGTCCTCCTATCTACACTTTCGGGTGCCTTCTAATAGTCAAGAAAGTTTATTTAGAGTAACAAATTCTATAGTAGCGTGATGCCTCTATAGTTCTCATATTTGCTCAGATCTCCTTTCTTTGGGATCTTGATGAGGTGTACTTCCTTCCAGCTCATCGGCACTTGTTCTTCCCCCAAGATCGTCCTGAATAGGACGTGAAGCATGCTTGTGGTTACCTGTATATCTGAATCTAATGGTTCGGCTGGTATATTGTCAGGTCCTGATGCTTTCCCACTCTTGATTTGTCTGATGGCCATCCTTTTTACTTCCTCCGTTGATGGAGTGACACCTATAGGAATGTCTGTAGAGGCTGCTTCGATGTCTGGTGGTCTATTCAAGAGTTCCTCAAAGTATTCTACCCATCTGCTCCTTTGTCCTTGAATCTCAGTGATCGGCCTGCCTTCTTTATCATTGACTGGTATCTCTGGTTTACTACATTTTTCTGCAAGCTTCTTCGTTGGTGTCATATTGTTGTCTCATATTTCCTTCTCTTGAAGTTTATTCCTCTATCGTTGTTCGCTCTTCCACGTATTTCTGCTTGTCATCATTAATGCTCTTCATCACTTGCTTGTCTGCGTCTGTGCATCCAGCTTGTTCCTTGACTTTCTGTCTTCTTGTTTGGCTGTTTTTAATTGCTGTCTTGTTCTTCCTTTCTTGAACCTTGTGCAGTGTTTCGATAGAGATCCTTTCTTTATGATGGTGTTTTTTTGAGCCCAGAACCTTCTGGCATGCATTTTCAATTCCTTTTCAGTTGTTCGTCGTAGTATTTTTCCCACTTCGAATAGATCTTGTAAGCCTTGGAATATGTTGTTGAGAGTTATTTTGAATTCATCGAGTGTATTGAAATTTTGTAATGCTTTTTCTTTAGTTATCTGGTGTTTCTTCAGCCTCAGTTGCATCTTAACCATAGCTAGGCGGTGATCAGAAGCTATGTCAGCTCCTCTATTTGTTCCCACGTCTTCCATTAATCTGAATTTTTCTACTGTTGAACATATGATCGATCTGGTTCTCTAAAGTATGGTCCGGTGAGACCCACTTAGTTTTTTAATGCGTTTGTGGACGAATATAATGCCATCTATAACCATTTCGTTGAATACATATAAATTTGCAATTTGTCACCAGTCTCAAGTTATTGTCTAACTTCAACCAATCCAAGATATTTCGCAACTGTCCACCACTGTCTTCAGTGAGTAACTACCTCACAACAGACACGGCTGTACTCCATTGGCCACGTCTACTCACTAGAACTCCAGGAAACACATCATGGACCCAGTCACTAGTGAGCTCATGATGATTATTGCTCGAATAAGGGTTTGAAGAAATTGTAATAGTTTAATGGTTGAATTCATCAGTCGATTAAAGCTAGACCAGCCTGGAAGCATCTAGGTAATTGATCATTTGATTTTATCGTTAAAGATTTTGTTTTATTTGAGTTTTAATGATTGAATTTCAGTTCGTATCAATAGACAAGTGGGGGAATGGGTTTAAAAAATAGAAGTTGTTAACCTTCAGAGTTCACCATTTTTGATTTTACTCAGAGTAGCATGTATGTCTAAAGCTGGGGATACTAAACTAGGATAAAGTGATTGATGGCTGGTAAGCCAACTCCACTGCGCGCCCTTTTGTTTCGCTTCGCTCTCTCTTCTTCGTTTCCTTTGCTTCGGCTCTTTGATTGCCTGCCCAGATCAATGAGTGTACAAAATATATGTATTTGAAAATCCATCCTCGTATTTCACTTATTTAATTCCGTTATTCACTAACGCGATCTAAGTCGATAATAATATACGAGGGTTGATGATATGTATATTTCAAGACCAATCAAACGTACTATCTAACTGGGTCAGATTCAGGGCCACTAAAGTTGTGAGCCTATCTTCCAACTGAACGCACAGTTGGCTCACACGCTTTCTCCACTGCGTGTCATTTTGTTTCACTCTCTTCTCTTCGCTTCGTTTCTTCAATCGTTTGTCTCGATCAACAATTGTACGAAATAAACGTATTCAAAAAGTCATTCTCGTATTCGACTTATTTAATTCCTTTATACACTAAGGTGGATTAACTCGATAGTTTTATGCGAGGATAACCAACATGTGTAGTTCGATGACAAGCAGCATACAATTCAATTGGAGTCAGATATAGGACCACTAAACCTTCAACTTCGCGATGAAAGTCATGTTGTAATTTCATAAATTGTATGAGTATATATAACATCTCAAATGAAACTGTATTCAATTTCTTTTTCCCTTTAGCACAGTTTTATGAATAAATTGACGGTTTCATCAAGTAAAAACAATTGGTTCGATTATATTGAATCAAAAACAACCAACTATTCTTATGTGAACATTATTCCGGAAGAATTAAAAATTTACAAATTTCAAGATCATTTCTATAATTTTTTAAATAAATTAAAATCATCCTTGTATTCAAGGCAAAACTCTACAAAACTAACGACAATTTCTGTGACAGATCCGAATGAAAGGATAACTGATCTAGTTAATTCAAATATTCCAGAAATCCAAATGACTAGAGATGATGGATTGCACAGTTTGAAATTTTTAAAAGATAATGAATTATTTAAGGTTAGCGGAAATTAATGGAGTTTGACGTTTATTTTTCGTTAAAAACAACTAAGAAAAAGTTTACATATTTTGTATATTCTTTATTTTTTGTCACGTCCTTGATCTATCTATCAAATAATATACTTAAGAGAACTTGTCTCGATCTAGATTAAGTCCTTTAATGATAGGCTAACTGGCTTAACCTTGAGGCTAGAAATGAGTGAGTTCGAATTGAGACTAACTGCCTTGGGTAAAGAAACGAAAAATCTTCTATCAGCCGACTGGTTGGAGAGCGAGAGAGAAGACGCGTCAACTGGAACACGCTTCGATTTACTCCCTATTCCGATTCCAACTCCGATTACACTCTGATTTAGATTGGTGTAAAGAGATACAAGAATAAATAGATAACTAACATGACCACAACGCACAAACAATTAAGAAAATACAATTATCCGAAACTGGAGATTAGGGTAGAAAATAGAGTACAAATGATTACGTTTAAATTACAATAACTTTGGAACAAAAAGGGGTATGGTAATGAATCATACATCGAAAGAAAGCTTATGGTTTATAGAATAAACTAAAGACAAACCTAAATGTCGATGTTTTACAAGTTTTGAATTAAGTGAAATAGCGTCCTCGAAAATAGCTTCCGTTGTTTGTTATGGCTTCTTCGTTTCTCTGTTCACATCATTTTCTTATGTGTTAATTTTGATAGTTTTATTGGTATTATTTGTACAAATTGAATTGTAATGAATAGTATAAATTAATTAATTCATCATAAACAAAGATGGATAATGGCTAGCAGAAAAATCCACGACACGAAATTCGGACCCGCCAGATGGTTTTGCCCGCATCTCACGGTTAATATTCACCCCGGGACTCGAACCCAGTACCGTTCGTTTCAAACGCCATCACGTTATGCACTTAACTACTGAGTCCTGACAGTCATTTGCTTGTGCAATGGGATGAAGTTTAAATTTACTTGGTATTGTTCACTTAAATCTTCCCATCGATGTTTAGGACTGCAGTTGATCAGTCTTTTATTGACATATGTGCAATATCAAGGCAATACGCACAGTATACACATATGCCAATAAAAGATTGACCGATTACAGTCCTAAACATCGATGGGAAGATTCAAGTGAACAATACCAAGTGAATTTAATTAATTCATTTCTTTGTAAGCATAATATTGAATAATGAGACTTTACTAAATGTCAAACATTAAAGTGGGACCAATCAATGAATATTTTAATATCGGTAATATTCGTACTGGGAATATATTCTTGCATACATGAAGGTCACGAGATTTGACTCTACATTCTATAAAATATATTAATCTATGCTTGACAAAATATAATACATTTGTGTTGTGAAAAAAAGTAGTCTCTTTAAATGTTTTCATTTATTATATAACTTTATACTGGACTAGTAATGAACTAAATCAGAGTAGACTAGTTTTATGTTAAAAGAAGGGAAATGATATAAGAAAGTCAAAATTATTGAATACTCTCTAACAAGTCTAGTTATCTATGATGATTTCCTTGACTAATATAGAAAATACTTCATATACTGTAAGTGGATGATACTCTTTTTCCATCTATTTTATTCATAGAATTGAATTGATTATATCAGTACTATGATGTTGATTAGTTAAGTTAAATGAATTAATTGAAATTTATTCTTTTTATTAGCCTATTTTTATTGACAAGTGATAATTGTTATTAAAGTTAGGGAAATTATATTTTTGCCTTGATATTGAATGAGTTAATAACATATATGTTGAGTTATATTAAAACAACATTTAGGAAATATAACATTCTTAAGTTACGTGATTCATAATTAGTAGTAAACGCCTTGACGTAAGTAAGTATTTTCTAGCGATATCTCAAGGAATATATCTATTATGTCCCAATGAGAATAATGAATGGTAACTTTGGAATCCATTTATAAACCAATACTATACGTATATTTTTATCGTATAATTGTTAAATAACTAAACTATTCATAAGCTTTATTTTAACCTATGAACTGTTATTATACGATTTTCCATTCTTGAATTATTCCCTGTTCATTAGTCACTGCCTCCCACATTCACAGCCACATTTGGCCAAATTTTATGGTACGCTGTGGTCTGTTTGATTGGTATATAAACCGAGTATGTTTGAAATACATGATCCATATTTCAAAGGCTGAGATTGGTGTTCATGACTTAACTGGCTGGGCTAGACATGAAGTGAGACCAATAAGGACTCTAGACTTCTCATACGGTTTTACGCGTCATTGATCCGATCGATAAATCATTGCTCTCTTATCGGCGGTCACAAGTTATAACAATATCGAAAGCTTCTTACTCTTACTGAAGAGATTACTTTCAGGTAGAACAATTTGATGATGAAGTTTGTGAATAAAAAATTTGGTGATGTAAGTTTGAAACTGGCATAAAACATCATTTTCTTCAAGATCATAGTTACACCTTGTTGGTGAAAATCACATTTCTCTGTTGATTATTTTCAATCATCCACTATTCAAATATAGTGCAAACATTGTCAAGTCACTGAGACTGATAGTTGCAACGTAAATTTATATATAGAACTCTTTTATCAATATGGACTGAACATACAGTAGACAGATTGCTACTTGATAATTATTTACTGAAAGTAATAATATTCATTATGAATTGTAGTTATCTTTTAAAATATCATAAAAACTCATTTATCTGACAGTTTTTCATTCTTACTACATTCATACCTTAGCACAATTTTGAAGGCACTAAATAGTTGACTTCTCATTGGTACTGATTACTATTTAACAAAAAACAGCGTAACATCATAGATAAATATGAATAGAGTATAACCGCTAACACTCGATAAACTTCTATTCATTTTACTTTAAAAATACTTCCTTTTTGTTGTGACTTTAAGTCTAGCTACTTATCACTTAATTTATCCGCCAATCGAAATACGACTTATTCGGTCTTGTACTGTACTAAACCAATGACGTCCAACCGGTCTGATTAGCCTAGTGTCCTATTGGGCCCTTTGCTCGCCTGGCCCGTCCAGCTGAGTCCAGAATGCTAATAACAGCCTCCACTATGCGAATCATTTATTTCAGACATACTTGGTTTATATACCAACCAAACAGACTGCAACGCACCATAAAATAAGAAATAACATTCATACAAAATAAAGCCAAAAAGTGACTGTGAACTTGGGAGACAGCAATTAATAAACTGAGTATAACTTATGAACAGTAAATCGTACAATAATAATCTATAGGTCAAATGAAGCTTATAATAAGGGGAATATAGATATACATTATCTAATTACTGAATATGTATACCATAAGAATATATAAATAATATTAGTCCATCAATAGGTGTCAGAAGTTACTTGTAATTTGATCTTTTCTGGGATATAACACTTTTCATAAGTGCTTTCTTTTCCTTTTCCTTATTTTTTTTTTGTTGTTGTTCCTATACTTGATACTTCAGTATGAAGATATTATCAATACAATCCAAAATGATTCAATCCCTTTAAATTCATCCGACAATGTGATGAATAGAATATTATATTATTCAGTGGAATATGGATATACAGATTTAGTCAAACGGTTATTAAATAGTGGAGCAGGTAGAATAGATTTTATTCTATATTACTTAATTGTTATAGTGATTAATTTAATTAAGTACTTCATTTGATATTGTTTAAATATCTTTAATAAATTGCAGTCTATTACAACTAAATTTATTACTTTATTCTATTAATGATTTTAGCTTTATTTGTTTTTTATTAAAGACCTTTTTGATAATAACAACTTGGCAACATTCTAACTGTAATGAATATCATAACTAGAAGAATAATTGAACTGAGTAGGTCAAATTGACATTTACTCAGTTTAACTTATTAGGTTATCTTGAGCGTGTAATCTATTGTAGAAACACAGAAAATACTGATCAATATTAATAGTTGAATTCATGAGTCGATCTAAGCTAGACCGGAGTTGAAGGCTTAGGAACATTGGACGGCTGTTTTGTCCTAGTATGGTACTCCACAACAGTGCACATCCACGACCCCACATAAGCGATTTGAACCCACTACCTTCGGTCTCGCGCACGAACGCTTAACATCTAAATCACTGAGCCTGCATCCAACGGTGTTAGTGTTTCCTCATGTTAAGCTTCAGCCAATCTATAAGATTGAGCGAACATCTTCCACTGTCTTCGGTAGGTAACTGCCTCACTCCGACATGGTTTAGCTCCACTAATTACGGCTTCTCACTAGAACTCCGAGAATCGCCTCTCTAAATTTGTTATTAGTGAACACATGATTATTATCGGATTGGGGATTTGTGGAGATTGTAGCAATTTTATCAATTAAATTCATGAGCCGATCTTAACTAGACCACCATTTAAAACCTGGAGGCACTTATATATATTTCAAGTACAATTACATTTATTTTTTGTTTTGGTTCATTAGTCTTTTGAAAAACAACAATAAACCGATTATTTAACTCAATTAAATGAATATTCTAAGAGTACAGTAATAAAAATAGTTGAACGTATCATTAGTTAGCCCTTGAAAGAAAACAAATTTGCTCGCCTGGTTTATTTGAAGCTTAAAACATTCCATGTTAGTTTGTTGTTCTCAAGTAGGGAGACTATAATTTATGGACGACCTTTTAACGAATCTCAAATAATCTTGAGAAATATTAGCCAATCAGGGAACAATTAGTATAGAGTAAAAATATATCATGCAAAACCAAAGAATTAAAGCGGATAATGTTTATATTTCACCCCAACTGGTCGAGCGCGTGTTCATCATATATCTACACAATCAAGACCCCAAAAGATCTAATAGTGAAAGCCCTTCTCACTCACTGGAACATACCTTTGGATGAACTGTCATTACGATTTGAAGGGTTCAAGATATCCAGTAAGGAACACACAAAATGGATGCTCAAGTGGATGCCTAAACCAATCCAATTCCAATTCTTTTCTTACTTTATCCCTAACACTGTGTCGTGCATTAACTATCGTCTGTGGTATCCATACCTGTTTTACCATATTGCTCGTCAGAAACGTTACAACCGGAGCAATACATCTCTCAATAGGGTCCGTAGGAAATCTAGCTTTATTGGACAACAGATCTCCTCAATTACGCCTGTACCCACATTCAATCACAGAAAATATCAGCCTAATAGAGCCCAGTGTAAATAAATTACCGTGTGACTGGACGAGCCAAACATACAACAAGCAATTTCATCTCACAAAGATCATAAACCTACGCCCAACATACTCTTTTCTTGGAACTCATAAAGCGTACATATTTGCGCCTTGAAACTAAAAAACCCATAGACACTGATGCTGCAGTCTAAGTCAATGACATTTGGTTCTTAAGCGTAGAGTAATATATCACAAATACATCCTATTAAGTCTACTTTAAGATTTCCACTACGACTACTTCTACTAGCGTGGTGCATGCTACTAATGTTGACAGATTTAAGTAGTATGTAGCAGTAATCTGAAGTGAAATGACTGCCAGCAGAAGATTGGATTGAAGAGAATAACGATTGAAACAAAGAGCATTTGGAATAAAAATAATATTGGAAATATCATAAAGTGTGTAAACGACAAGTAGTGGAAGGTGTGCAAATAATGTATTTAACGTATGATTTCCATATTTTATGAAATTACTGTGTAATTCCGCAATAAACAATGAATTGCTTCGTCACACCGTAGTCTCCCTTCACTATTCTAAAACTCATTTAATTTTATGGGAATCAAAAACTAACCATTTATTCTAGATTTGAACATAAACAATAATGATAGAAAAACTCTAGCAATGTTGTGTCGAACTGTATACCCCGATAGAGACCATCATGTTAACGTCGTTTTTATGATAGTAGACAGATAAATGATAAGTAGAATGTTCTATCTGTCTGAAATTAATATAACGCTGTTTTTACATATTTTATTTGCTACTAGATCCAAATTATATCAATGAATTGGGAAATCAACCTATACACTCAGCAGTTTCAAGAAAACACTTACAAATGCTTCAAATGTTAATTAATTTTGGCGCCAAAGTGGATGCAAAAACCCGACTAGGTGCACAAGCTATACATCTAGCATGTGAAGCGGATTTTCTAGAAGGATTAGAAGTAAGTAGATAGTAAAGTTTGGATAGATCCATGAGTAACATAAATACTCATAATAGTTAATTTTTGTAGAGTAATACTGTGAGACGAAAAGAACATAAAACTAACTGTCACTTAATGTGTACATTTATAGTTACAAAATGACTTTATCAGTGTCCCGTGCATAAGTATTGATCTAGATATTATTATGACATGAACATTGTTTTAGTAAGATAACGGAATAAATCGAACAATCTAAGTGATATTTTCTTCACAATACTAATCTCTGAATCCTAACTGCCTAGCTACCAAGAGTCAAACTCACTGCCTAACTGAATGAATATAAATGAGAGAATTGAGGCTACCTTCTATGTGGTAACAATATTTTACAAATTATGGAATGAAATATAATGAATCAGAGATAAAAATGAATGTCACTAATAAAGCTGTACAGTGAAACAACAGGATTTTTGACCCTAACTATGAAAAACAATCTACAGTTAGCTAACAAAAGAATTACAACCTTGTGACAATTTGCACTCTACTTAAATGCATCTATATTAATAAAGCAATCAATGTTAGTCTCATGACCAATCCAGTTGTATGCCACAGAAAGTTGTTCCTTTGAAGAAAATATTGTACATACTTGTCAAATTGCAAATGTTAACGTTGTCTAAGCTTTTGACAATAACGAAGATCCTTAAAATAAAAGGATTTCTATTTACCGGAAAATAATTCTAAATGTTAAATTCCACTTAGATTATTTTCATAGATAAACTAATCTACAAAACAGTGAAATAGCATTATATCATTTAACATATAACTTGTTTAATTTAATTTGGAATCGTTCGTATTATCTTGTCGTTAATATTTTTGAGCAAAATTTGGTCAGTCCTGATTGGCATATGGTTGAGCTGCCCAGATTGCCTTGATATAGTCATTATGACACAAGTTGATATATATAAATACGGGATGTGGCTGGAAATGGAATCCAGGACGCTAGTTTCATCTAATTCTGAACTCATTTGCCGGATATACCTGTACATGTTACTCACATTCCAACCAAGACTGATCAAATTTTAGTCGAAAATATCAACGACGGGACAAACTGATCCATTTCAAATTGGCTTAAATTTTACATGCGTTGCACAAGTGAGTGACATTCTGAACTCAGTAGTTAAGTGGATAATACAATCGAGTTTGAAGTAAACTGAACTGGGTTTGAGTCCAGGAGTGAACATCATCTATGGGATCCAGGTACATCCAACTGACGAGTCCCGCTTAGGATGAAACGTAAGTCCCAGATCCTACCGCTATCCTCATTCCATATATTCTAAATAACTTATTTTATGAACAAAGTTTTATTTTCTTATAATACAAGTCTACATGCATACTTCGTTGGTTAATATATTTTAGCTTCTTCTTGAAATTGAAGTAGATGCCAATACACCTGATGAACAAGGCGCAACACCAATTCATTATTGTTGTTTCAATGATAGTGCTGAATGTTTACAAATGTTGGTAAGAAATTTTAAAACAAATAATCACTACATGTAAGATAATACAGTTTAATACTCAAACAGTAGTCTATGTCATACTCCGAAATTAACTTCTCATGTTGCTCAGGGTAAAACATCAAATGTAAAGGTCTAAAATTCAAAGAACTTACCAAAAAACCTAATACTTGAACTTTTTAACTTCCATATTGCAATCATGTTATAAATTAATCACTACTGTAGGATTATTTCAACCAACAGACGATTGACTCAATCTGAACAAAAGTTGTATATAGAACACTGAGAACTATGACTATAACTTTTTTGTTTTTAAAGTAGAAAAACAATTACATTATACTCGATCACATCAAATACTTTAGGCAGTTTGTTTATCTTTGGTGAATATGCGTTTCATTTATTTTTCTTTGAAACTATGCTTCCTGACACGCTTCAGTTAGAGAAAGACCCAGAGTTCCGGAGCAAAACTATGTCAACAAATGAGTTATAACATCAGCTTCTTTCAGTTGTGTTAGGTTCTTCAAAATACAATATATGCAACATACTTCATGGTTAAATTCCGCTCCATTGCAGTATTCAAACAGTACTGTAAATCAATGTTGGTGACATATTTTTATGGGTAGACTTTCAAATCTACAATCTATGGTCACAGACGCTTAAGTGCATCAAATTTAAGATGAACCGATCTTGTCAACATAAAATGGACCCCATCTGTGGCGATAAACTCAAGCCATCCTCATTCCCATTGTTAAAACATAAATACAAGTCCTGAAGTGTGAGGTTTTTCATAATTTGATATATGGACCATATTTCCTAAATCTTGTTCATCAGCATTAATCTGAACAGTAAAGTGGTAATAAGAATGAAAAAGAGATAGCATATATTAAATATATTTGGCAATATAGGAGGTATACTGTCATCCTGGCCTCGCACCATTCTTGTTGTCAATAACACCCTTGATCTACTGGGAAACAGCTACCTTATCTAACGCGTTATCTCCATAAACAACCATGAACGTTTCGTGAATATCTAAACATTGTTTTCCAATTTTCTTTAAAACCCCAGTAGCTTATTTTTTGTATGCAGTGAATAGACCATATACATCTTACAAAATAACTTGAACATAAGAGTGATCCCTCATGAAAATAATTCCTTAAGTAAATATAGGAAATCGTTAAATTCATAGCTAAATATTATCAGTTTTGTCTTCTTTTCTGTCAATAAGATACAAGCTGGTGGGAATATATACCAGACGGATGCTTTAGGAAAATATCCAATTCATGAAGCAATTTCCCAATCAAGTTTACAATGCCTTAAAATTCTTTTGGATTATAATCAATACGATATGCAAGTACATAATGAGCCTACGACAATAATAACAGAACCTTCTTGGCAGATTATTAATTCTATGATTACGAACACAGAGAACCATAAATCTATTTCAGTATTCAGTCGTAAACATTCAATAATTCCAAATAAATTTAATTCAGGATCTAAAGATTTAAAAATTTCATTTGAATTCGAAATGAGACAAGAAAAACTTAATCAGAGAATGAGGAAGCCGTTCAAGAAACAACAGTTGATCCACTTACTTGATGGTGAAGGTCTTGCACCGATTCATGCGGCAGCTAGTTCAGGATCGATTGAATTGTTGAATGTAAGTATAATTTTGAGTACCATATTTTGTAGAATTTCTGTAGCGTTAAAACATGACATTTCTGTAACATGTAGATCGATTTTGATTCAGTGGCCTTAGAGTAATGAGCTCACTTCGAAATCGCAATGTCCTGGATTCGCTCCTTAATGAACTCATGGACGCGCTGATGAGAAGTTCTATACTTGAACTCTCTGAAATTCGGCGATACATCAGTTGATATCATTCCATGAAGGAAATTACCTACAAACTACTTCTTTATCAGTCCGTTAAGGAAAAGATTGGTATGTCTTATATTGTCAAGGTAAAGTTTAGTTACTATTTTTAATTAAGTAATACCACGCTATTGTTATTATCTTAATAAGCTTTCCATGTAGCTTTCAAATTCCATTACCTTAGGTAATTATACACAGAACTTTAAATGTTTTCAATTCTTTTTTAATTTTAAACAGACATCGGCTATAGAAAAATTACGAACTAGTGACTTATCTGCTTTAAGTGTGGTGTATTTTACGAGAGCTAACAAACTTAGATCCTATACTTTTCTCATGTCAGTCATTTGCATTTCTGAGGAATACATATGTAGGACGAAATAGCTCTTAAGTGATGGCTAGTATCCTACATTTCTTTAGTTGACTTCATCTTGTATTCAAGATCATCTTCAAACTTATACAAATTTCTCCACAAAATCATCTAATCACCACAATTTTCAAAATAATTCTTTCTTGTTTTAACTCATAATAATAGATATGCCTTCAATATAACCCAGATGTACTAGCTAAAGATCAAAATGGTCAAACAGTACTTCATTATGCTGCACTACGAGGTGATCTAGAATGTGTAAAGGCAATTATTAAAAACATCTCACTTGAAGAACAAACCAAATTAATTCAATGTTGCAATGAAAATGAAGAAACTTGTCTACATTTAGCAGCTAAACACAATTTTGTTGACATGGTAGATTATCTAATAAGTTTGGTAATTATTTCCGTATGTCTTTAACATACTACTGTTCTTTGCTCTTTCTTAACATTTATGTTAGATAGTATCAAAGATAAATTTTTATGAAGTTTTGTTCTCTGAGCTGGATGGTTTGGTTGTGAAGCTTTCATCGTTCTTCTGAAAGGCATCATCAGCACAAACTTCCGATAGAAGTGAAGTGTTCGAATTTCTCCATATGCGTCTCACAGCTTGTTCTGTACATCTCGATGTTGATTGGTTCTTATTGACCTGAAATTTGTTATTGTTTACTTCTTTGTTTTGGTTGCGTAAAGTAAGCATACATAGGAAGATATTAGTGACTTGATGAAGGCAACTCGACATCCTGAGAAATATTTGGTACAACTTATACTTACAAAGTGAAAAATAAAAGACAATGGTTATTCCATGAGTTTTACAAGATTATTATTATTACTAACTCACAATCAATGAAAGAATTTAATATAATAGACATTCTAGCTAACCAAATAGATTATTCAGTTAAAAATAGTTGAAAATGTCAAATAGCCTACCAGTTTGCTAGTTTATATTTTAAACTAATAACTTATATAGATTTCATTAGTGTTACCGCTAATATCTCTAACTGTAAAACCAGGTACTCTTATAAAAATTATGAGTTGTTTCGATATTTCAGATATATCATTACTGACAAGTAACAGCTATCGTGGAGCTTACACAGTTACTTATCGATTGAATGTAATTAACTAAAATAATTAGAGGAAGGGAATCTTAATTGTGGTGCACCAGATTGTGAGTTTAAATTTCTTATTGGAACATTTTAAATAAAAGGATGAATCATTAAATACTAAACATTTAGATCATATATCTTTTAGTATAATAGCTATATTAAATTCATGATCTTGAGACATACGAGATCAATTGTAAATAATTATGTTACATAATGATAATCTAACTTGAAGAATATTCATTTAACTAATTCCAACTAGCAATATATTTACCACAAAAGAAATATAAATATTCATTGAAATAAAATGACCCATAGTATCATTGAATAAGAAAAAAAGAATTCAGAGAAGAAAATTTTCTTCTCGACGAAATCATTTACTTAAATTGTATATTTGTATATATAGTTAGATATAGAAAATATATGTGTCTATAGAAGGATAGAAAGGATTGTATCACAAAAATAGATTCGAGAATAAATAATAAATGAGGTTAACGTACTAATCAAAGGGTAAGGAAGAAAATAATTTATGGGTCATTTATTGATCTTGTTCATAATTTATTGATTTCTTATTTTTATTCATTAAATATAGGGGTCAAAAATTAATCAACAAGATATAAATGGTTATACACCAATAATGTCAGCTGCTATTAAAGGTTCAATTAATGTAATTGATTATTTATTAAATAAAAAAATTATAATTAAACATCATGATATAAAACAAAGAAATTTATTTCATTTAATTGTTTTAAGTTGTTCAGATGAAATATGTAATTCAATTGAAATGATAAAAAATGTAAGATAATCAATTAATTGATTAATCATTTATGTTTTAGTTCAATTATGATTATTATGTAATGATTTATTTTCAATGGTTAGATCATGAGTCAGTTGAAGTTAGACATTAACACTAATAGATGCCGGCTCAGTGGTCTAGTGGTTAAGTGCTCGCGCACGAAACCAGTAGGTCGTTGGTTCGAATCTCTCAGGTGGCGAGGTCGTTGATGCGCACTGCTGAAGAGTCCCATATTAGGGCGGAACGGCCGTCCAGTGCTTCCAGGTTTTCCATGGTGGTCTAGCTTCAACTGACTCATGATCTAACCATTAAAATTACTACAATCTCCACAAAACCCCTTCTGATAATAATAATTTATTCTTTTTTTTTTTTGTTTTTGATGTGTGGGCGAGAATGATAATGATTGGTTGTCTGATTAGTCAGACATGTAGATAGTTTGACAAGTGTGTTAGATGAGTTATATATTCCCCTATCCTTATAATTGTTAATCACTTATTATTGATTGTTCATTGTTGTTGGAGTGTCGGGGTTTTGATGTGGAAATATATTTACGTTGTGGTCACATGTTCTTGATCTGAGTTGTGTCGAAGTCCTATAGAATAGACACTGGGAGGGAATCTAGTGTAGATATTCTTCTAAGGCAAATTAATGTCCCGTATATGTAAAAGTGGAAACCGTTATAACATTAGACGAGTGTTATAACAATTGGCGACGGGGTAAAAAATAAAGAACCAAGGATACAAAACCACAAGTTATAACAATTTTTTTGTTTTAACCTGTTGTTAACGATTTAAATTTTCAAATAAGTATTAAGAGTTTTACTATTATAAATTGTAAACTTTATGGCATACTGGATCACTTTTGTTTAGAAATGTAAATCTATCTGTATTAGTATCTTTGATTATAAGTTCACCGGTTTAAAGTGTATTTATGAAAAGATAGATAGTGACTAGCAGTGGAATTTAGAGTGAACATCAAGTCTGGAATATAGGTACTTCCAGATGATGAGTTGCAAATAGGATGAAATGTGCATCCTGGATTCCACTGCCAGCCACTATACATCTTTGCTTACAAAACTTGTGACTTAAGGTAATATTGAGACAATCCGTACAGGATGCACATATGCCAACAAGAGACTGATCAATTGCAGTCTTAAACAACAATAGGAAGATATAAACAAACAACGCCAAGTGAATGTATTTATGAAATGTTAAAAATATTATCAACTGAATACCGATCTAGTTGGTTTGAAATAAAATGCATTCATCAATAGCCCTGATTCATGTTGTTCAATTTCAAGATAGTATATGAATGCATTCTCCTGGAGTATTACAACATGAAACAAACCAACTGTTCACATACTACTGTTTGAAGATAATTTTTACCACTGAGTAATTTCATCTGAAGAAAGCATAAAGTGCTGATCAGTTATTTGTTTTTAGATCTGATATAATCGAAATTTCCTCATTCTCGAAATCCCTTCCAATTCAATATTCAACCCACACATAGTGTAGGAATAACTATTTTTTATGAAGAGCTGTATATTATGAAATCTATTAAAATGCCACAAGTGATTCTATTTAGCAAACTAAAAAATATGAAAAATAAAAGTCCCATAATCCAACTTTAGTTTTCATATTCATTCAAAGAAAATTAAATTGAAATAGTTCGTATCTCCATGCATTTTTTTAATAACCGTAAGTCCTGTGGTACATGCTACTGATGTCGACATAAGTAGTATATAACGCTAATCAGGGGTATAATGTCTGGCATCAGATGGTTGAGAGGATCGAAGAGAAAAGAACGATAACAGAAAGTAATTGGTATGAAAATGAAGGAACAATGAAGTCTCAGACAATTAATAAACATTTTGCAAATGAATTATTGTAGTATGGTTTTTGTTGTTTTCCTTAACGACTTTTTTCAGATGTGTTTATCCTAATGTGTTGTTTATAAGGACAATTAAGGCTTTGTGATTAAATCAAAAGACTGGATGTTCAGACCACCATTAAAATGATGCTTTTAAAATACACCCTCCAAATATTTCCATATCACTAGTATTTCTCCCTATTTGTGAGATTAAAATTGTAGTAGACTATGATAATAAACGTATAGGAATAGTTGTTATCATGAACTGTTATCATTCGAATAACCATCAAAAGCCGTGACTCGTTAATCAAGCATTTTCCCTGTACTTGGACTCTACAGTTTACTATAATAATGGCTTCATACAGAAATAGACAGAGATGTACAGGTTTTAGATAAAGTAGTGTTCAACAAATAGATCGAGGTGTTTTGGCTTACATTTTACAACTTTATTTGACAAATAATCTACACAATGCAACTATCATCCAGAGTCATCAGTGCTTACCTATATCAATTTCAAAGGAACTGATATAATGGTTCACTATTTCTTACTAGAACTTCAAGATATATTCAACAAATAATTAGACAATAATAGTTGATAAACTCATAAATTTTGTCAGTATTGGGTTGTGGAGATTATTAAGTTTTTGATTGAGATCATGAACCGATTGATGTTAGACCACCAGTGAAAACCTGGGAGCACTGGACGACCGTTTCGTCCTATTGTAGGACTCCTCAGCAATGCGGACCCACGATACCGCTTGCGAGATTCTAACCCAGGACCTTCAGTTTCACTTGCGAACGATTAACCTTGATAGGATATATTAGCTAAAAACTTTAAATACAAATAATACACATTAGATTTTTAAGTGGAAATAATATATGAAGAAAGACTTTTTCATGTTAAAATCAGTTTGTAAAGTATCAATTAATATATACGTTCATTTTTTTCTAGCTTAAAGAGTTACCTGAACTATTGAACGATGTAGACAATTATGGATATACACCGCTACATTATGCAACTAAATTAGGTCTTATAGAAACTTGTCTGTTCTTTTTACGATATGGTGCAAATGTAACAGTTGTAGGTGAGAATAAATGTACTCCACTTCATTTGGCAGCTAAATTTGGCCGTTTACGAATATCACAGGCTATACTGAATACAATAGGCGGTATGAGAACATTATCTATGACTGATAGTAAAGGTTGTCTACCTTTGCATATAGCAGCTTATTATGGACAAGATAAATTATTAGAACTTTTTTTAAAAAATGGTTGCTTATTTCGAAGGTTAGTTTAAAGATGATTTATAATTGGTCAATCGACTATTACAAACCTTTTTACAATAATGAATTGTCAATATCAATTAGGTAATACTTAAGAAAACCATTCTCTTAACATACAGTCAAGTTGTATTTATTTATCATTTATCTTTGATCACGACATTGTTCTATCAATTCACTTACTATAAATTTTACTTCATCTATTATACGACGAATGTATGAAGCTCAATGTAATCCGAGTTTGTTATTTCCTCAAAAATTTAACTAGAAGGAAAATGTATCAAGAACTGTGATGTTTCCGTTTGGTGTGTTCAGTATTTGGCATTGGTTAAGGTTGCAGGCATTTTTATAAAAGAATAAAGTAACAACTTTACGTGGTATTGTTTGCTTGAATCTTCCCATTGAGGTTTAAGACTGCAATTGATCAGTCTGTTATTGGCATGTCTGCATACTGTGCGCATTGCCTCGATATTACCTTAATTCACAAGCTTTATAAGCAATTTGAATTCACCCCATTGCACAAGCAAGTGGCTATTAGTACTCAGTAGCTGAGTGGATAACGCGTTGGTGCTTGAAGCGAATGGTATTGGGTTCGCGTCTCGGAGTGAACATCAACTCTGCGATGCAGGTACATCCAGTTGACGAGTTCCAAATTGGACAAAACGCGCATCCTGGTTTCCACTGCTAGTAATGATAAGACGAATATGAACAGGTGTTACTATTCTATCATTTACTGGTTAATATTACCAAGGTAAAAAACAAGTCGAAAGCAATTTGAACAAGCTACCGAATAAACTACAATGTTTCAAGTTTACAAAATCAATTATTATTGAAATATTTAATTTCAATATCATCAAATACATAAATTAAGGTATGAATTCTACACCTAACATTTAATCTGGAAACTACGGAAGATAATCAATAATATAAAAAGACTAATACAATTAAAATTCTACTGAACACAAATTTTACACTTTCCATTCAGTATTTTGAATAAGTTAAAATTAAATTATGATTTACTATCACCTTTGGTCATTTAACTGATTGACTTGAATTTATGTTATCTGACCTATAAAGTAAGTTTGTCAGCAAAATACTAACTATTTATGGATGATATTTGGGCAGCACTAAAAATACCTCCAAAATGTCCATCTACTTATTAGTGCTAAATGAGGGTTATAAACCGCTGTAAGAAATTAGGATTATCATTTACAGTTGATGGTTCGAGTTATGAATTTAATCTAGTGTTTTTATTACGAACTGACATCAACTATAATGCCAAAACGCTATCTAGCTAAATAAACGAATGAATTTCTCGACAAAACCCAATAACCGTTACCCTAAATCTGATTGGTTCGTTCATAAATTATAGTCTCGCCGTAATTATATAAATCTCCTTAATATGTTGCGGATTGGTCATTCTTTCTGCAAATAGTACGAGCACAAAGGGGTTATAAAATATTTGCCGAGTTGTAAGGTGAAAAAATATCAGTCACAGTTTAACAGCTATTAATGATACTTGGAAGACTAGTCTTTTACAAGAAATTCTAATTTTGGTCTCTGAAGAGCAATATAAGTAACTAAGCAATGCACCTGTGTGTATGATTAATAAATGATCTTAGACACTACAGAAAAAGGGAATAAACAATTGCAGGTAGTATGATTTCTAGTCTTATGGTGGTGTAAAACGTAATACACTAAATAACCTATTAGCCCATCATCCTTGAGCTGTCATTCATCCCTGTTGTTATTTCGATCGCTTTCTGTTTTCTTTACCCGGAAAAACTTTTAATTCCTGATATATACTACTTATATCTGTCCGTAGAAGTAGTACACACTACAGCGAGTGTTCAGCTGGAAAAAAACAAGAATTTCGATCTTAAAATTACGGGAAAAGTGATTTTCAAGTTACTTTTATAATTAACTGAGTTACTTTCAAACAACAAAATTAACATTAATGTCTGTATTATTTTTTTTTGTTTTCCAATAAGTTTCCCTATTCAGTAGTATATAATATTAAATAACAACGAAGCTGCAAAAATACTGATAACTTTTTCAATTTATCAAAATTAAAAAGACTTTATTGATACTTACTAATTCATCTAGATGCCATGAAGGAAATACTGCTTTACATTACGCAGTAATGCAAGAGAATGTAGAAGCATGTAGAATTCTATTAGAGATTAATCCTACTTTATTAAATCAAACAAACTATGATGGAGTAAGTTTCTTTTTGGCTTATAATTTCATTTCTTTAAAGATTTTACATGGATAGAGTGATTGGGTGGCTATATTATATTCCTTAATATGACTAGATACAGTAACTTATCAACGAGCTCTGAACCTATCTTTTGAGAGGATTCTACTAAATAACCATTGGACAAAACCACTAATTTATTTGAACTTTGACTCATTTGTTTGTGGTAAAAAATTAACCACTTAATTCGGTTAATAGTTATTTTGAAGGTTTTGTATTTTCTTGCTGTTTATTTTAAGTAATGTAGCTCATTAGTTTTTAATAGCACATGTGCAACCTGAGCAGATTACCTGGATCCTACCGTTTATCATAATTTTTTTTTATTAAAACCGGGGATTAACTAACGCTGGGATCGGAGATGTGGGTTTTATTTGTAGGGGAAGCTACAAGGTTTGGAAGTCATTGTGAAGATAAACACGAACACGGGAACGTCCAACAAAGGAGTTCCAAATGGGACAAAACGCGAGTTTTGGATTTTAATGCTGGCTGCTACCCAAATTTGATAAAAACAGATAATGGATGAATACTACTTCCTACCCAATCAAAAATTCCTGTACTAAATATGTTAGTTGTCACAACTAATTTAAACTATAAAACAAAATCTTTAGCGAACACGCTTTTTGAAATTATTACTATCATATTTAAGTACTACTGTAGTGAGCGAGAACACAAGTGTACTTGGATGCAAAATTACAGAATCTTAGTCAAATCTGAAAACCATACAGTAAATACTTCATATGTAAAATATCCACCAATTGTCTCAGACTTGATTGTTCCTCCGTTTCCACACCAATCACTCTCTGTTCTCGTCCTTGTTTCTTCGATCTTCCTAACCTTCTGTCGCCAGGCATTTCACTTTCAATTGATGACACATACTACTTATATCCGTCGACATTAGTAGCACACACCACACTACTAGTATGTACGTCTGGTATTTATTTAGTGATAAAAAAGAATCAATAAATAATTTGCAAATTGTTCACTCGATCTATACAACTGTCATTTTATTTCCATTGGTTTTAATACATTAGACACACAATATTTAATATTTTGTAGATGACTGCATTGCATATTGCTGCAATAAGAAATAATAGTCGTACAATAGAATATTTACTATCTAACAGTGCGGAGATCAAACCAGATCATAATGGATTATACTTTTTAAATTATGCAATTACAAGACTAAATGAAGCAACTGTTAAAGAAATAGTTCTACATGAAAGGTTAGTTACAATAATACATATAAATATATTGTCCTAAAGCGTGATATATTACCTAGATCCAATGCAGCACGATCGTCAAACAATTATGTATAAACATTCATACACATATTAAGGTACAAAATCAAGTGATCACAACTAACCATAAAAGTGAATACAAATCATCTGTCGTATTGCAGTTAAACATTTAGCTACCAAGCCCTTATCTCATATCTTTTTGACCATTGTTAAAAAGATAGATCTATGATCTGTATGAGGCCATAAAACTTACAATTCAAATTAGTATGTTCTGACTCAGAGTTTAATCTACTCGGGTCTTGTTGCGAACTATCGACGTACGTTCAAATATGTCTCCACTCTAGAAATCCAAAAGCTAAATACGAATTAGGTTGGAGTTCAATAGATCAAACGTTTGTCAGTCGGACAGCCAAAGAAAGTGTGAAGAGTGTTGTCTAAGCATGATATGAATTTATTTGAGTCATGATTTATCGACTAGTTGAATTTACAACCAATAAGAGAATCGATAAAATAGATAATGGACATGCACATATTCAAATGCACACAAGAGAAGACACAGCTGATCAAATGTTTGGCGAACGGTAAAGTGATTAATGGAAGTACAACATGTCTATTTGATGCACTTTCTAGCCATAACAATACAGGGTGTACGAGTAGATAGTTGAAAGACGCTTACTACAAATATAATCTGAAAGATTGAATGTAGTATCAGCGTTCAACATGTACGTTGGTATCATTGTCAAGTGGAAGTGATGTACAGAAGCTACAGAAGACAAACTGAGTAAAATTACAATTACAATTAATTGAAATTATGAACCACGTTAAGTTATGCTACCCCTAAAAATCTGAAGGTTAGGCATTCGTGCACAAGACTAATGGTCCTGGGTTTGATTCCCGCGTACAGGATTGTGAAAGCTCACTGCTGAGGAGCCCCATACTAGGACGAAACAACCGAAAACAACGCTTCTAGATTTTTCACTAATAATCTAACTTTGTTAAATTTAAAACAATTAGTCTCTTTGATAAATTTCGATAATGCTATGAGAATTATGTGATATATTTGCGCAGTACATTTCGAACAATCTCATCACGCATTTACTTGTTAAGAATATCACATAATTCTGATAAACTTCGTCTTCTCATTGCATTATCAAAATTTATCAAAGGGACTAACTGTTTTAAAAGAACATTTCTATATGAAAATTAAAAGGTCAACTAGACTGGTTAAGAGTAAGCCATAACAAAGGAAAAAATATTAAAGTACACAAAAATAAATGTGATTACCACTCTGGATAATAAATCAGTATCACCAGGGTCGAACTATTCGTTCTAATCTTGACGAATATTCGTATAAATTACCAGGGTAGGTTAAGTGTAAGGACAAATTGTTTTTGAACACATAAAGGGGGTTCAATTTCCGTATAGCCAAGGCTTCAATAAACCTTAGTATACGTCCTTGAAGGCTTTTGTGCAACAGTACAAAAGCTTATTTGACGTTAACCTTATGACCCGTCTTAACCAAATGTTTCGCAATAGAGGATAATGTATGTCTATCCTGTGATCTTATCAGAGACGGGTTATAAGGTTGACACCAAATCAGCATTTGCAGTGTTATACAAAAGTCGTTTGGACACCATAGGAATTTAGTATTTCCCCTTACGAATCTAAAAATGAATAAACTAATAATTCCTGATTTATTGGTTTCAAAATACTAAACATTCATATCATTTACATTATATTTACTTAAATATTACCTTATAGTGTTGGGGATGGTTGGAACAAAGTTAAGGGTGACCAAACTAAAACGTAGCATCATTGCTTGAAGTCACTAATTTCTAGTTGGTAGATGCAGACTACTTGGTTGTGGTCCGTGTGACTATCGTAACCAATGGTTGGGCACTCTGAGTGATATGGCTCGGAATCGATCACAATGGCGTAGATGTATACACTCTCTGTCTTCATTTAAACTATGAGATTAAAATCGCTTTATATCTTTCTTTCTAGCAACTAATTCTTTCTTTCTGTACTATGTCCTAATAAGCAAACTTTTATATAATACCACCACTGAATTAACTGCTTATATGAATTCGGTGTTCATCTTGTTGTGTTAATGATGTATGGCAACTTGGACCGATGCATATATGTGCCTGGCCCTATGTTGTAGCTGACTGACTGACTGAATATTACCTCACTCAGAATATTATATCATTTCATACATATCTTTCTCTCGAGAAAAGTTATGCGGTTTAAATAAACCTTCAAGAAAATTTCTATCACAAACTATTAACAGCTGGATAAATTTTAAAAGCTAAGAACTAGTGAACAGTTTGTTTAGACCTTATTTAAAATTTTCAGCGAAGCATTACTAATAACTTACAAAGAATTGAATCTAGGATCTCTGAACCATAGAATAATACGTTTGAACGACCTAGTTTGAATATTTGAAGCTCTAAGTCTTATCAAGTATAGGATCTTACTGGTGCACTGTAATTAAATATCACAGTCAGATGAAATAACTATCCTGTTCTTGTTGTTTTCAACTGTTATCAGTTCATGATGACAATTTTTATTAAATTATATAAAATCCTTATAAAATCACGTCATTATCTAACAGTATCATAATGACAATAATTTATTTGACAATATAATATAATTTTTTATTATTTACAGATGGCCTGAAATAGTGGAGTTACTTAGCAACACAATATACTGTCCATTCAAAGAATTAATAGAATATTTACCTGAAATTTGTTTGGTATGTGGTTTCTTTGATGAGAAAAAAATAATAATAATAATAATAACTGTTTTGTATTTCCTATATCAATTCCATGTCTCATACCAAAAATTTACAGCCACTTAAACATATTGACAGAATGTATGCCATTTGAATGACAGTTGTCTGTCATTAAAATCTTGATAAAATTCACATATCAATCTTAGTTCAGTTATATTGACGGCACATAAACTCGATACAAATGGATCATTTCATCTCTCCATAATCAAATAAGATGTTGTATAACTTCCTGACGCTATGTAAACTACCGATTTAATGAATTCACAATGAATTTTACTTCAAGTTTACATAACTATTCATTTTTCTAGATCTTATTCATTTAAGGCATGAGTCTTCTTTTATAATATTCGAGTGTTATTAAGCCATGATCAGAGCTATTGCAAGTTTTCTAATCTGAAATCAAAATGAATTTTCTAGATAAATTTCACATCTGAAACTTCAGAAAGATATTCCTTTGAAATCTAAACATTTGAACAGCACTCTACAATTTCTTGATAATTATTACTTTTATGTTATTATCAAAAGACTTAAGTAATTAGTCGATCGTAAACAAATGATAATTACATTTCTTAGACAATAGAACGATATAAAAACGAGAAGTCATTTGAAAGTCATCAAAGTCATCGAAATATTCAGTATTTACTTTTGTGAATTAAACTATTGAATATATTCATCATTCATTATAACTATTTTAGCAGTTATTAAAGTGATCTAATCATTAGTATTAGGTCAGTCTAACAATGGAAGGCTTAGTTTGTATTTACATTAGTAGAGTTGAATATACAGCTACGAACTATATTCAGTAATCTTTTTAGTTACAATAGGACGAACCGAATGCTATCGTTTCTATCATTGCTTAATTGTTCATAAACTGACAGGCAACTTAAGTTTATATTACTATGGCTGGACATTTTGTACATAAGCATAAACAATAATATATCCATACTCTATTTGGTTTGCGAATCTCTTTTCTGGAATCTGTTTTGCTGGGAATGTATCCTATAAGTGAATAGTTATTTTGTTTACCTTAGCAATTTTGCTCTTTTATCAGATCAGTTTTGAGATTACAACACTATGAACTATACCTACAAGTTAACTATTTCTAAATCTTCAAATTTGCACCAGTCTAGTGAAATGTATGAACAGTTCATTCAAGACATTGATGATAAAACATTTGTAAAGAATGAATAAAGTGTTGAATCTTTATGGGTTGACATGAATAAATCATATTTTATGTTTACTGGAACTTATCTTTGAAAGGGAACAGTGTACTTTGCGAGTCAGACATTAGGTCACCAAAGTTTCTTTAGACTTTAAGGGGACTGTAAAATAACTTGATGACTAAATATAAATTGTCAGTTTATAGTTTTTAGCTGAATATGTAGACAGTCCTACCGTTATGATGCTTTTCAGACACAGATAAATGCAATAAAAATGATCAAAAATACACATTAATGTTTAACATGAAAATAAATTTCTATTATTATTAAGTAGTTACCTTTTTAAAATAATCTGGTATACATTTAATTGTTTATAGTTGGTTATGGACCGTTATATCACTGATCAAGGAAAAATGAACAGTCCAGAACACGGGGTAACTGAAGAATATTTATCTTATACCAGTATTCATAAAAAGAATGAATTTGTAATTATCATTATTTCACAATCGTTTATATGATGTCTATTATAATTTATGATAACTCTAAGAATAACCATGTGCTCATTATCTTTCTGGTTCCAAAGAGAGGTGGTGACTAGTGAAATTCAACAACGCTGGAAGTGAGACAGTTCTCAATAATGACAATGAATGATGACCCAATATCATGAAACAATTGGAGATAGAAATCTCGACCACATGGTCTAGATGCGATTATTTCCCTTATCTGGAGTGCAATAGATACTAAGCTCATTATTTGACAGAAAGGATATTGCTAAGAAGTTCCGTACTAGAATTTACTGTCTCTTTAGTGTCCTATGTTTTTCGTTAGTCGTTTATGTAGGATCAGTAAATAACGTTATCGGTCATGCTTACATTGAGTGAATATTTACAGGTGTTGACAACTCACTATCAGAATAAATATTTATTTCAGTAAGGTGCAAATTATGTATTTATTTGAGGATTGAATGTGTAAGAAAAATTTATCAGTGAAATAATAAAATCCATATGAGTGCTCTGTGAGCAAATCATTAGTCTGAAGCCATTTCTCCTGATGAACTAATACTTGTAAATTGTATCAGAAGATAAAGAGTTTGGATCAATTTTCAAAACTCCATACTCTCTACCTGATGAAACTGTCTACTTTTGATTTTGAGATATTCTAAAAATCCTTAAATTGTAAACATCTGTTTTAAACCAGAGTAAAGGTGTTTAGAACTTAATGATCCTCAACTATTCTTCATTTAATATTAATAAGTAGAATGGTAATTCACAGTTTTCATCAGTTAACACCAAAGATAACTTTCAACATTTAGGCAAGAAGTTTAAACTGAGGTTCATTTATTACCCAGTTGCAAAATCGACGTTATCATTATTAAGTGTACATGTGTTTCTATTGACTTATTTGATCATTTAATCCATTGTCAGATAGCTATGTAGCTCACAATTATCGGTTACTGACTAATAACCAGTATTATACTGTCTAGTTCTCACTATTGATTGAACTCTATAAGTCATTTAGCTTAAGTGACTTGACTTCGTGTTAGGTCCCGGTATAAAATCTAGCAACATCCAGAATTCTATACTGATTACCGATGCCCAAAAAAGTAGCCATATAATATTATCATAACTTATCAGTTGATTGACTTGTATGTAAATATTTTTTCAATAAATCAATGTGTTTCTATGGTCATTGATTCTTTTTCAAAGTTTTTTGACATTTTTCATGAGTTACTCTCAGTTTATGCTTTTCATTACTTCCCTTGTTAGATATGTAAACCGATAAAAGAAATGGTTTATAGAATCTTTTATATTAAATAATATGTTGAGACATTGATATTTGTTTCTTCGTCTTTTATTTTCTGTCTGTCTAGACATTGTTTGATTTCTCTATATTACAACCACCTTTAAAAAATCGCAACAGACAACCAACTGAACCACTACAACACTTAAAGGTAAACTAATTTGACTCATGATTTCAACCATTGAAATTGCTGAAATCTCCACAAAACTCCTGATAATAATCATTTGCTCACTAATGACTGACTTCAAGAGATACTCCTGGAGTTCTAGTGAGAAGCCGTGACCAGTGGAGTTCAACCAGATCTGTTGGGAGATATCGACTCATTGAAGACAATAGTGTACGGTCGCGCAACTTCGTGGATTGGTTAAAGCTAGACATTCACACCGTTGGATGCCGGCTCAGTGGTCTAGTTGGTTAAGCACCTGGCGCGAGACTGATAGGTTCTGGTTTCAAAACTCGCGAGGGGCGGGATCATGGATGCCCATAATAGGGCGGAATGGCCGTCCAGTGCTTCCAGGTTTCTTATTGTGATCTAACTTCAATTGACTCATGATTTCAACCAGTGAAATTTCTAAAATCTCCACAAAATACCTTCTGATAAACTAATCTTGTTTATTTTCTTTGAAAAAAAGAAAAAACTGATGATTAGAATAGAATTTCATATGAAACGATAAGGGTATTTTTATTAAGAAAACAATGAACCTAAGAATTACTCCCTAGAATAATTATCTTGTCATCTTAATACATGGAGTTAAATTTTTATCATTTATGGAAATATTGAGACATCGAATCATTCCGTAGGTTTTGCAATCAACCTTGGAGATTTATAAAACGCCTAGTCAGACGGTTTATATGATAAAAAGTGAATAGAAACTAGTCTATATTACCGTTATGAGGCTAGTCAACAAATTCTTTAAGCTAACTCCTACAGAAGATCTATGAACACTTATCCAGCCAAAAACGGAAAGGTGTTAGAAAGTTATAGGGCAATAGTCGGTATTTTCAAACGTAAAGAAATTGATCATTTGTGATTACATGACTTTGAAGATTTCGTGCAATCTGAAAGAAATTCTTATTTAGAGCTTCATAGCTTCCGATTAGTTTTCCAGCTGTTAACAGTTTGTGATGCAAAAATTACTTTCAAGTATCCATGTATATGGAAATTTATTCACTTTAAATCTTGTCCACATAAAATCTACATTATTCTTATGGAGGATAAATTTGACAGATATGTTGTTGACTATAGGAAATTCTTAATTTCATATCTATTCATATGTGTAACATTTAGATTTTGATAAAGTTACATCTATCGCACATACGAGGATTTGAAAGATAGAAGAAAAAGATGATGAAAAACTGATTCAAAAGCTCAGTAAATGCACAAAATGAATAAGGAAAGTAATTGAGAATGTTATAACTTGTGGCGTGAGTGCCCTGTTAATGTATAAGTAATGATACCGCCAATTAGAGAGCAGTGACTTATCGATCGGATCAATGACGCTTAAAACCGTATGAGAAGTCTAGAGTCCTTATTGGTCTCACTTCATGTCTAGTCCAGCCAGTTAAGTTAAGAACACCAATATCAGCCTTTGCAATATGGATCATGTATTTCAAACATACTTGGTTTATATACCAATCAAACAGACCACAGCGTACCATAAAATTCGGCCAAATGTGGCTGTGAATGTGAGAGGCAGTGACTAATGAACAGGGAATAATTCAAGAATGGAAAATCGTATAATAACAGTTCATAGGTTAAAATAAAGCTTATGAATAGTTTAGTTATTTAACAATTATACGATAAAAATATACGTATAGTATTGGTTTATAAATGGATTCCAAAGTTACCATTCATTATGCTTATCGGGACATAAAACATAATAAGCATCAAATTAGAACAATCTGATAATCAAACTAAATTCGATAGAGTAGGATTAGAAATCTGTTACAAAAGTTAGAATTAAACAACATTTAGCATTTTTTAAAATTTTTCTTTTAACATTTCAAAGATTATGATTCTTCATAAACGGGATAATTTACTTGTTCATCCTTTATGTGAGATGTTTCTTAAAGTAAAATGGTGAGTGATTAGTATATATATATATATATATATATATATATATATATATATATATATATATATATATATATATATGTTTAAATCATTGTTGTCAATGTTTAAATAGATTGATAGTAATTTATTTCAATACTTGATCAACAAATTTTATTTTTAGTCTAATGTAAGAAAACTTATCAGATAGCTTTACTTGGTGTTGCTTTACCTCTATCTTCCCATTGTTATTTAGGACTGCAATTGAACAGACTCATGTTGCTATATGTGCATCCTATGCGGATTGCCTCGATATAGCTTTAAGTCACAAGCTTTTTAAGAAAAGATGGATAGTGGTTAGTCGTGGAAACCAAGACGTACCTTTCGCCCTATTCTTAACTCATCAGCTGGATGTACCTGCATCTCAGAGTTGATGTTCACTCCGGGATGGTGTTTGAAGTGAACGGTACTGGGTTCGAGTCCCGGATTTCACTGCTAGCCGCTATACATCTTTGCTTAATCAGTTAACTCTTTGAAATTGTGTTTTTTAGAAATGAATTAGGATATTTGGTTGTAATGAACAGATTAGCTAGTCACCATCACGGTACAATGTTTTTTCATGGATTTTCTTATATTACTTACTTACTTACTTACGCCTGTTACTCCTCGTGAAGGAGCATAGGCCGCTCACCAGCATTCTCCATCCAACCCTGTCCTGGGCAATCCTTTCAAGCTCTTTCCAGTTCTTATTCATCTTTTTCATATCTGCTTCTATTTCCCGACGTAATGTGTTCTTTGGCCTTCCTCTTTTCCGCTTCCCTTCAGGATTCCAAGTTAGCGCTTGTCTCGTAATGCAGTTTGATGATTTCCTCAATGTATGTCCTATCCATTTCCATCGTCTTTTCCTAATTTCCTCTTCAGCTGGAAGCTGGTTGGTTCTCTCCCACAAAAGGCTGTTGCTGATGGTATCCGGCCAATGGATGTTGAGTATCATGCGTAGACAGCTATCAATAAATACCTGTACCTTCTTGATGGTGGTTGTTGTAGTTTTCCAAGTTTCAGCTCCGTACAGTAGAACTGCCTTGACGTTCGTATTGAAGATTCTGACTTTGATATTGGTTGAAAGTTGTTTTGAGTTCCATATGTTCTTCAGTTGAAGGAATGCCGCTCTAGCTTTGCCAATCCTCGCCTTGACGTCCGCATCTGAACCTCCTTGTTTATCGACGATGCTTCTCGGGTATGTGAAGGATTCCACGTCTTCCAGAGTTTCGCCATCAAGAGTGATTGGATTGCTGTTCTCCGTGTTGTGTTTGAGGACCTTGGTTTTCCCTTTGTGTATGTTGAGGCCTACTGATGCAGAGACTGCTGCTATGCTGGCTGTCTTTATCTGCATTTGTTCGTGTGTATGTGATAGGAGGGCTAGGTCATCTGCGAAGTCCAAGTCGTCTAATTGGTTCTGAGCTGTCCATCGTATGCCGTGGTTTCCCTCAGATGTCGAGGTCTTCATAATCCAGTCGACCACCAGAAGAAACAGGAAGGGAGAGAGTAGACAGCCTTGTCTTACTCCGGTCCTTACTTGGAATGCGTCTGTCAGCTGTCCTCCATGCACTACTTTGCACTGTAGTCCATCGTATGAGTTCCGGATAATGTTGACAATCTTCTCAGGAACTCCGTAGTGTCGAAGAAGTTTCCATAACGTCCTCCTATCTACACTGTCAAATGTCTTCTCATAATCAATGAAGTTGATGTAGAGTGACGAGTTCCACTCAATTGATTGTTCGACGATGATCCGTAGTGTCGCAATCTGGTCTGTGCACGACCGGTCCTTACGGAATCCAGCTTGTTGATCTCGAAGTTGAGCGTCAACTGCGTCTTTCATCCTGTTCAGTAACACTCTGTTGAAGACTTTACCTGGTATTGACAGTAGTGTAACGCCTCTGTAGTTTTCACACTTGCTCAGATCTCCTTTCTTTGGAATCTTGATGAGGTGTCCTTCTTTCCAATCCATTGGCACTTGTTCCTCCTCCCAAATCTTCTTGAATAGAAGATGAAGCATGCTTGTAGTTACTTCGATGTCTGACTTCAACGCTTCAGCTGGTATATTGTCAGGTCCTGCTGCTTTCCCGCTCTTGATTTGTCTGACGGCCATTGTCGTTGGTGGATTGACATTTATAGGAAGATCTGTGTGTGCTGCTTCGATGTCCGGTGGATTCATTGGAGCCGGTCTGTTCAGGAGTTCCTCGAAGTACTCTGCCCATCTGTTGCGCTGTTGTTGAATCTCAGTGATTGGTCTTCCTTCTTTGTCTTTGACTTGTCTCTCTGGTTTACTGTATTTCCCTGCAAGCTTCTTCGTCCTATCGTAAAGCTGTCTCATATTTCCTTCTCTTGCAGCTTTTTCCGCCGTCGTTGCTAGTTCTTCCACGTATTTTTGCTTATCAGCTCTAATGCTCTTGTTCACTTTCTTGTTTGCTTCTATGTACTCTGCTTGTGCTTGGACTTTCTCTGCTCTTGTTCGACTGTTGTTAATTGCTGTCTTCTTGTTCTTCCTTTCTTTGATCCTGTCCAGTGTTTCTGTAGAGATCCATTCCTTGTGATGATGTTTCTTGGGGCCCAGAACCTCTTGACACGTTGAAGTTAATGTTTCTTTGATACCTTTCCAGCTATCCTCCATAGTAGTTTCTACTTCCTTCAGTAGATCCTGTAAGGCTTGGAACCTGTTGTTGAGAGCTACCTTGAATTCATTGAGTTTGTCAGTATCTCGAAGGAAGGCTGTATTGAACCTTTGTGGTGCTGTTTGTCCAGTTGTCCAGTTCTTCTTTAGCTTCAGTTTCAATTTGGCCACAACTAGGTGATGATCTGAAGCTATGTCCGCTCCTCTCCTGACCCTCACATCTTCCATTGTCCTTCGGAACTTTTTATTGATGCAAATGTGATCTATCTGATTCTCTGTGGTGTGGTACGGTGAGATCCATGTAGCTTTGTGTATACGTTTGTGTGGAAATGTTGTACCGCCTATGACCAATTTATTGAATGCACACAGATTTGCAAATCTTTCCCCGTTTTCGTTTCTCTCTCCCAGTCCATGTAGTCCCATGATGTCTTCATATCCGGTGTTGTCCATTCCGACTTTGGCGTTTAGATCTCCCATCAGAATGGTGAGGTCCTTTCTTGGGCACTTCTCTATGATTGATTGCAGCCTCTCATAGAATTGATCCTTAACGTCGTCGTTGCTATCATTGGTAGGTGCATAACATTGGATAATGTTCATTGTGATATCCTCCTTCTTTGTTTTGAATGATGCTTTGATGATTCTGGATCCGTGAGATTCCCATCCTACAAGTGCATTTCGTGCTACTTTGGACAGCATTAGAGCAACTCCCTGAGTGTGTGGAGCATTTTCCTCTTCGTGACCGGAGTATAGCAGCATCTCTCCCGTATTTAGCCTTTGTTGTCCAGCTTGGGTCCAATGGGTTTCACTGATTCCCAGTACTGCCAAGTTGTATCTCCTCATTTCCGTTGCTATTTGACTGGTCTTCCCGGTCTCCCACATTGTCCGGACGTTCCATGTACCTATAAAAATTGTTGCTCTGGTTGTTAGGAGGGGCATCGGCCTCGTGGCTTCCGAAGGAACTCGGCTTTCACCATGAAGCGTCATATTACCTCTAACTCCCAGGGCAGAGTTTAAATGGTTTGAGTTATTTTTTGTGGTTAGCGTTTTTTTAGCGAGTTAGGTTTCTACGGGATGGGGACGCTAACCCCATGCCCAACCCTCCTCCTTTACCCGGGCTTGGGACCGGCAGTAACTCTGGAAGAGCTACAGGCGGAGTTATTTTCTTATATAGGTAGTATTAACTTTTCTACACCGACTTCAGTCTGTTTTTTATGTGACCAAAACTATGGACCTAAAACTTTATGTTGAACCTTTCAGTATTCATACTTTAATTTCTAAACTTAATTTTTATATACATGACATGTGAGACTATGAAACTAGCTTTAAGGAAAATACTTCTATGTAACATTTAAACACATGTATAGTATATTACCATTTGACAAAGGTATACACTTACTAAGCATAAGTTTTGCCAAGGCATCTTCATATTATGAAATCCTAAAAGCATAAAGATTGTCCAGTTTGTGCTGTTTATTCAGTCAATATTATTTTTTTAACTAACGTACATATATACAGTGGCTAAACTATTTTAAAAGATCTAACATACACAAACTTTCTTACTTACTTATGCCTGTTACTCCTCGTGGAGGAGCATAGGCCGCTCACCAGCACTCTCCATTTAACCCTGTCTTGGGCAATCCTTTCCAGGTCTTTTCAGTCGTTATTCATCCTTTTCATATCTACTTCTATTTCCCGACGTAATGTGTTCTTTGGCCTTCCTCTCTTCCTTTTCCCTTCATGATTCAAGTTAGGGTTTGCCTCGTGATACAGTTTCATGATTTGCGTAATGTATGTCCTATCCATTTCCATCGTCTTTTTCTAAACACAACCTTTTGGAATCCATAAAATCAAATGATTAAAGACTATTAGTTATGAGTTATCGACATAACATATAATCACTTATTTACACTATCTTTATTGATTTTCCTAAAAACAAATAGGATGATGTATGGTAGATGGATTCATTTAATGATAACTGTTTATTATATAATATTAAATTCGGCAGTAACGTTTTCCTGCCTAAGGCAAGTACCATTAATTATGGACTATAGTAATAATAATAATAATCAAGTGGATCACTGTGTTCAGAATGTAAGTAATGAAAAATCTTTTTGTAATAAGCTAATCATTATTATTTTAAAGATATCTATGATTTTATTGATCCTAAGTTAATGATGAAAATTTACGACACACTAGAATATTAGGATATTAGTGTTTCGTTGTCCTAGTTGAATTTGTTATGGTTATGTTTAATTAATGAAATTTACTATGAAAGGCTTAACAGTATTCTTTTATGCTAATACACGTCGGTTCATCACTTAATGATATGAGATCTAGAGGAAATTTAAATGATGCTATAATTCGAATTAGAAACTACGAGACAATATACTATTGTTACCGTAGATAAATTTAGATTGGTTTAGTTAGTAACGGAACATTTTTTTGAACTATATAATGGCTCTAATGTCAGTTATTCTATAGGAAACAAATTTCCTCAGCCAAACAACATTAACTCATATAGTGAATAAGATTTTAGCACTTTTCTCAAACATTTTTTTTAATGATTTCATTCAGAGAAACTACTTTTGTAAGCTATTTATCAAATAAATTTCAACGAATAGAAAGTTCTTATATGTCAAAATTATATTTGAAATGATCTCAGCGATTGAAATTTAAATCATTCCAACGTTTCGTTCAGCTAATTTGCCTGAACTTCTTCAGGGTAATAATCCAAACCTTTGATGATTTTGATTTTGATCATTACCCTGAAGAAGTCCAGACAAGTTAGCTGGACGAAACGCTGGAATTATTTAAATTTCAATCGCTGAGATCATTTCAAATATAATTTTCACATATAATAACTTCTCTATACTCGGCGCCCAATTTCTGTCAAACTATTCGTTCTAATCTTGACGAATATTTGTATGAATAGAAAGTTCATTTGTGTAAAATATCTAAGTGATTTATGTATATTAAAAACGATTCATTAACAGTTGTCTAACTTCTTGTTGTCATCTGAGTGATTTACTTAGATAAATAGATTTAATATGAACTTATACTATTTTAAACAGTTGATTCGAATCTATTCAAGTAGACAAGTGATAATTTTCCTTTTAATTAACTAATTTTCATGTACATAATAACTTGTATGGATAACTGTTACTATTCACTTTACACGATCCATTATGTAATGAAAGCGAAAATGAAGAATAAGGATTGTAATTGAAAGAGATTTATCTACTGAAAAAAAAAACTAGAATTTCTATATAGAATTGATATTAAACAAACAGTATGGCTTTCGATTAAACCATTACCAGGCTTTACTCTAATATAAAAAGTAATATTTATATGGATATATGAAAATACTAAACCAATCAAGATAGTTTATGAGTCAATAATAACAACGAAATAGATTACATAGTTAAACAAAATAAGTAAAAATTGATAGTTTTAATGACAGGTTTACTAGATGTGACATTTAAAAATTCCCATATCTACAAAGACTCCTAATTATAAGGATTAAAAGTTTATGCAAAGGTGACCAATACAACTATCATGATCAGTAAACTATCAAACTTCTAGACGCTAAAAACTATAAAGCGTTTCATAAACTATATATGCTTGATTTTCAAATGTCCCTATTCATATCAATAATTTTTAGTTTTGCATTATGGTTTCGTCATTAGAGTGATTTCATATCGAACTTATTGTTATGTATCTTTAATCTTAAGCTTAAATCTCAATCAACTGGTAACTAAGGTAGATAGATCCCTGAAATTGGATTGATTATTAGATAATCCCTGTATCATGTAGTCAAGTATTTGAAATTGAGAAATTTATAACAATTGATGAAGGGTATTATACTCATTGGCAAAATTACTAAAGATCATATATTTTGACCTAATATGTGTGCACAATTTAACGATCTCATACTAGGTTAAAACAGTGTTTGTTGCCTATTAAAGCTACAAAGATTATTTTGCTAATGATAACCTATATCTTAAGTACTTATTGTTACCACTTTTTTTTTAATAAATTACAAGGTCTTGTCGTTGAATGTTCTTTTTATCAATTTCCTTTCAGTTATACAGCCAAACAAACGAATCAAGTTTTAACAGAAGAATAGTGATTTTCATTTTGTTTGTTAGTTTATCAAATATGTTTATACAATGCTTACAAATTATTTCACAAGTGAGAGCATTACATTTAAATTCGATTTATTTAACCAAATTGAAAGTTATTAATTGTTTAACTACTTAATAGTCAAAGAGCTTTTTTGTTGTTTAAATTATGTTGAAAGTTCAAATTTCAGTTAATTTGTCTAAAATGTCACTATTCAAATACAATATTGAAACCCAAATTTTCTATGTGAAATATTTTACACTTGGAGTGTGTTTTTAGGAAAAATTTCGGGGCTTTACAAATTATTATTGTAAACAATCCCACCCATCGGGATTCGAACACAAGACTTATCGGTCTCGCGCGCGAACGCTCAACTTCTAGACCACTAAGCCAATTTCGTGGATTGGTTAAAGTTTGACATTAACACCGTTGGATGTCGGCTCAGTCGTTTAGAAGTCAAGCATTCGTGAGCGAGACTAACAGGTCCTGATTTCGAATCCCGCTAGTGGGGTCGAAGATGCACACTGCCTAGGAGTCTAATAATGGGACGAATCGGCCGTCCAGTACATCCACATTTTCTATGGTGGTCTACCTTCACTTGACTCATGATCTCAACTATTAAATTACTATAATATCCACAAAAACCATTTCTGACTTTAAAAATTATTAATGTAAGCAATCGGCAAAGAAAATAACAATAAAGATGGATATTAATAATTCGCGGCCACATCACTTTAAAATATCACTAATTTTTTTAAAATTCATCGAATAAATGGTATGGTCACTACCTAACTATGGATGTAGTGACATAAAAACTAGGAAATATATGTTTGTACATAAACTAACCAGCTAAGATAACCCATGACACTTTTCTTTCGTAGAATAATTTCATTGCCTAAGAGCTAGATTTGTATAAATGTTATTGATATAAAACTGAAAAGTATATTACAACTGTATCAGAACATGCACCTAAGACGATTCGGACTTCGCAGATGACCTAACCCTTCTATTTCATACACAAGGACAGATGAAGATGAAGAAAACTAATGTAGCAGCAGCCTCTGCATCAGTAGGCCTCAACATACACAAAGGAAAAAGCGAAGTCCTCAAATACAATACGGAGAACATCAAACAAATCACAATCGATGAAGAAGCCCTAGAAGATGTAGAATCATCCAAGTACCTAAGAAGCACCATTCATGAACAAGGAGAATTTGATACAGACGTAAAGGCGAGGATTGGCGAAGCAAGGACAGCATTCCTACACTTGAACAACATATGCAACTCAAAACAAATGTCAAACAACATCAAAATCAGAATATTCAGACAGTCTTAATGTATATAGCTGAAACTCGGAGAACTAATACAATCATCAACAAAATGTACAAGTATTTATAAATGATTTTCTACGCAAGATACTGAATGTCCGTTCACCGGATACCATCAGCAACAATCTACTATGTGAGAGAACAGACCAACATCTTGAGGAATAAGAAATTAGGAAAAGATGTTTGAAGTGGATAGGATATACATTGAGGAAATCACCAAACTGCATGATGAGGCATTCGCTAACTTGGAATCCTGAAAGGAAACGGAAAAGTGGAATATCGAATAACACACTGTATCGGGAATCGGAATCATACATGAAAAGTCTGAATATCAACTGTGAACAACTGGAAAAGATTGACCAAGACGGAGTTCAATGGAGAATGTTAATGGGCAGTCCATTCTCCTTCACGATAAGTAATAAGAGTAATTAAGTATATAAGTACTGTATCAAAAGCTTTTTGATATTTTAGTTCATGAAAAATAATTCTGTGGTGATTAAACTTTCAGTAAGAAAAAATGTGAAGAGAGTATACCATAGTTGCACATACACAGAACTTATGTAGATCAATCAACATTCAATGATTTATCTTAGCTTATCCAATCAACTTGACAAGCATTTTGATTTTTCTTCTATCCCATATATTTTATCCTTAACTCTAGCATATCGATAATTGAATACCACACAAAACAATTAACATATGTTGTGTTTGTAATAACATGTAGTGTTAACAAATACGAACTTTATCTGACAGAAAAGGTTATTCACATAATCAATAACTCAATATTTGTATCCATAATCTTTTTTCAGTTAATCTATTTGATCGTTTTGTTTTATTTTTGAAACTTACTTAGGCCTGTTACCCCTCGTGGAGGAGCATAGACCACCCATCAGCACTCTCCATCAATCACTGTCCTGGCCAATCTTTTCCAGTTGTTCACAGTTGATATTCAGACTTTTCATGTATGATTCCGATTCCCGATACAGTGTGTTATTCGATATTCCACTTTTCCGTTTCCCTTCAGGATTCCAAGTTAGCGAATGCCTCATCATGCAGTTTGGTGATTTCCTCAATGTATATCCTATCCACTTCAAACATCTTTTCCTAATTTCTTATTCCTCAAGATGTTGGTCTGTTCTCTCACATAGTAGATTGTTGCTGATGGTATCCGGTGAACGGACATTCAGTATCTTGCGTAGAAAATCATTTATAAATACTTGTACATTTTGTTGATGATTGTATTAGTTCTCCGAGTTTCAGCTATATACATTAAGACTGTCTGAATGTTCGTATTGAATATTCTGATTTTGATGTTGTTTGACATTTGTTTTGAGTTGCATATGTTGTTCAAGTGTAGGAATGCTGTCCTTGCTTCGCTAATCGTCTCCTTTATGTCCCTATCCGAGAAGTAACTATTAGATATTTTATTGAAATTTTGATTTATATATTTTGTAATTATCTGTCCTTTTTTTCTTTTTTATATTACCATTTAGAGAGTGAAATATTTTAAAAATTGGAATAATCACTTTGTTTTAATATTTCAATCATTACTTATTATAAATTCAGTAATAAGTTTAATTGGAAATCATCAACCATATTCTGGTGTTCTAGCAATAATCGTCATGTTTATAGCTTGGATTAATCTACTATTACAAATGATTCGGTTTGTATTATTCATATATTTAACATTAAATGCGCTAATATAATTTTTAAGTTGTTAATCAAGGTATAAGTAATTGGTTAAAAGCATTTCTTATTTTTTTGTTCCATAATAGTATTGCTGTCCGCAATAGTCTTAAATGAAATACTGCGTAAATATATAACAAAAGTATAATGTCATACCATAGAATCAATATTAACATAAGCTGATATGTAATTGTAGAATTATTATAAAAAGTAAACATAATTAATGTGCTATACTACTTCAACAGACCATAAAACATTACTTATAGGCATTGAAATAAAGTTTACATATTCTTAACGACTTCGAAACAGCAAGTGTAAATCATTATGTATAAACGTTTTCAAGGCATACTACTGTTGAGATAATTCAAATAACCCTAATTCAGTCCTGAAAAATGTATATACCACATAATCGAGAGTCAGAATTAAATTATATCAATCCTGAAACACAAGTCAATATATTTATTGATAAACACAATATTGAAATAGATAGATCATTTCACTGTGCCAGCTTCGAAAACAAAACACAACTACAAACAATGCTATTCATCTATAACAAGTTTTAATTCCAAAGTTCATAATTATTTTTCATAGATAGTTAAACGTTACACTTATACTTTTTAGAATGAATTTCGGTAAAATTCATTTTAGTTGTGCATCATTCATCATTTGTTCTAATATAAATGATATTCCCTAGTTTTCGTTATTGTACTTTTTCAATCGAAAGTTACATACTTAAGTAGAACTTCACTATTTAGTAAATCTCAATGATTGCTTACTACTTAGTGACCAATGTCATCTATGTAAAGTCCTTCTTAGTGCCAGGGGGGGGGCATCAGTCCCCACAGGACTACAGGTAAACTTTAATGACGAGTACTAAATAATATGAAACCTTGGTCCGTGGTTTTCTATCGACTACTTCAAACCACTACTCTAAACTCCCATCATTTTTGTCTATTTTTTCTTATTTATAGATCACAAGATTTTGGAATATTTATCATCATGTTTATACATGTGACAGTCACAGTTGCTAAATTGTTACCTTTGTCTTTATATCTTCTTATTGGATTTGCAACAGTATTTCAACAATTAATTCAGTTACCAGATGAAGAGGTTAATTACTTATTTAATTATTTATTTATTTATGGCTTTATTCAATATTATATTTTGGTACAATATATATATATATATATATATATATATATATATATATATATATATATATATATATATATATATATATATATAACTTACATACTTCAATTCGCGCTTAAAATGATCTTTGATTTATGCCGTATAAATCTTAACGAAGACTTTATTGAATGTCAATGATAACCTATCATAGACACAATAATCAGTACATACATAATTATTATGCTAATGTCATAATAAAGAATATTTATGTCATCAACTGAAGTCACGGTTATCTTTGTTGATTGCATAATATTATATTATCTTTTAATATGAATAAGGTTTAACGTATTTAAACAAAGTCCATAAAAAACAAGGAATTCATAGGATTCTGGTTTAATTAACGTTTTAAATCTACAGTTTTATAAAAAGGAACTAAGTGTATGCACTTAGGAACTTTTAAAAACCAGGGGACATTGATATATTCACAAACAGAATCTCACTTATTCCACTGAATAATTACAATCAGTATGTTGATAACGATAATTTACTAACACAATTATAGGCGTGAATGGAAGGTTGTACAATTAATCACTTCAATACACTTCATAAATGCGTATTAATCGTATAGTTTATCCAAAAATAGTAAGATAATTACCTCATGAAATAAACAGATATCTTACTAGCCTGGCATATTTGACTTCTACTGCTGTATACCATCTCTTGTTTTAAGATTACTTACAAAGGATTTTGTATATGAATTCATTTGAAATGAATGCGAGTGTTTTAGTGTTCTAAACGAGCACCTCTAAACGGCTTAGCATTTAAATTTTGAGATGGTAATAAGTCAAATACTTGACAGATCATTTCTATTGGAGTTCGTTTAGCACCAACTAACTCAGTACTAAGTACGCAAATGTTTTGTTGTAGTTTAAGAATCACTAGCAGTACATAGCCATCTGGCATCAGTTTTAGTAAAATTATCCTCAAAATATAGAAATGTTCATAATAACTTTATATTTTAAACCGCGAAAAATGAACAAAGTATGAAATATCTGTGAAATACTTAGTATTAAATAGAATAATGTTTAAACAGAATTTCTTTATGACTTTCTTTCTGCTTGCTTCTATTATACAAAGGTTAGCACAGTTAATTTATGTTCTCAAACGACAGTCAACTCCCACTGTATCATAATTAGCTCCCGAAAATTAAATAATTAAGATGCTAAGATAACCAATTAAGTATGATGGCTACTCTGTGTTATTCACACTATAAAACTCATATGAATAGGTAATTTTAATAAAAGACATAGATCATGACTTACCATAAATGTTGAAATTCTGTAATTTAGTTACCTTTGTTCACTTTATTTAAATTAGTTAACTCTTGGTGTCAAGTTGACCGAACATTTTAACAGAAAAATTGTTCATCATTAACGTCATTGTTAAAACTATTGTTTAATTGACAGTTCATTGATAACTTAATCTAATTATTTATTCAGTATCTATTTATAAATGATTACTTAATGCATAAAGTATTGTCTTTAAATGACCATATTTATGTTCGATAACATTCTAAAAACGAACTACGAAAGCTTTATATTATCAAATGACACTATGTATAAACTAGTAAACAGTGAATTATTATCTAAGTTACATCAAACATGTAATTTATGACATTCTCTACGCCACTAACGATAAAGCCTTCACATTTATTACTGTATGTTCATGCTGTTAATATACCAATGAATTTTGACTTTTTTTTCAAATTTTCAACAAAAACAGTAATAGGTAAAACGAATAGTTATAAGTCCTTTCATATGATCGAATTTTACATTCGTTTAGTAAGAGATATAACCTTGAAATTAGAATGACTTAGGATGATATCATAAAATGATCATTTGATAAATATTTGTTAAAAATATACAAACTAATTATCTAAAGGGTAACTATCCCAATTTCATACTGTTCTCTTCTCACTTCTCCTTGGTACTGTAAATAACAGTAGGAAAGTGAGAGAGGTTAATAAAACAGGATGATAAGAACCAAATATTGAACTACAAAGTAATCATAGTCTTCTAAAAGATATATCAAGGTTTATGAACTGTAACTAATGTCTCATGCTTTACTTACTTACTTACGCCTGTTACTTCCAATAGAGCGTAGGCCAACAACTAGCATTCTCCGACCCACCCTGTCCTGGGCCTTTATTTCCAGTTTTATCCAATTCGTGTTGATTTTTCTCATGTTTGTCTCCATTTCTCGGCGTAATGTGTTGTTTGGTCTTCCTCTCCTCCTCCTTTGGACTTGAGGATTCTATGGGGAGGCTTGTGTTGTGACACAGTTGAGTGTTTTCCTCAATGTGTGTCCTATCCACTTCCAGCGCTTCCTGATTTCTTCGTCCGCTGGGATCTGGTTTGTTCTCTCCTACAACAGATTGTTGCTGATAGTGTCTGACCAACGGATTTGAAGTATTTTACGTAGACAACTGTTAATAAACACTTGTATCTTGTGTATGATGGCTTTCGTAATTGTCCAGGTTTCCGCCCCATACAGTAGAACTGTCTTGACATTCGTATTGAAAATTCTGACTTTGATGTTGGTTGCCAATTGTTTTGAGTTCCAGATATTCTTCAGTTTTAAATATGCTGCTCTTGCTTTGCTGATCCGCCCCTTTCACATTTGCATAGTTAACAATATATTCGAATCATTAACATCAAAACCATTATTCTAACATATTTCTAGTAGAGAGATTTAATACCCATAAACTTGAAGTGAACCATTCTTATTTGTTGAACAATTTCATATATTGATAACTAAATGCATTGTTGATAGACATCATCTTGTTCAGTAATAATACATACGTTTTATTTCCTCTCTATTTCTGTTTATTTTTTTTTACTCAGGTGTTCAATTCTTTATCTGACAATAATAAAATACAATTTCATAACTGTTTCATTGAGTATACAAGTTCACTAAATCATTCAATAAATAATATAACAAAAATAAATAGAAAACAATTCAATATGCTTAGTAATATTGGACTAAGATTTTTTGATACATTAATGATGATGATGGGTGAATATAAGCATACAACAATTATTATTCAATCATATTTAGAGGATCAAGTATCTGCAATACCTTATCCAAAATTGACTTTCATCTTTTATATAGCATTTATTATTTTAATACCAATAACACTGATCAGCTTGACAGTAAGTAATTGTTTAATATGAAATAAGAATGATATTTTCATAATCTGACTTATACCAAACAAAATAAAACTGATTTTAAATTGTGCTTTTCTGGAGGCTTTTAGAGATTTTAGCTAAAAGCTCTGAATTCCTTAGATTTAATTCAGTAAATGATAGGAAGTGTGTATTGTTGAGAAATTCCAAAAACTATGGCTTAGTAACTTTCCAGTACTTATTGATTTTTAATGGTTCTTCAAATCACTTTACTTCATATTGAAGATTAAGGTAAAAAGATTGATTGTTTAACTTGTATAAACTGTATAGTTCAAGTAAGTTTATTCGTTCTCTTTAATAATGTTTAGTAAATTACAGTCATGTTATTGCGATGTAAGAAATTTAGTCTCGAGTATATGAGTTAATTTATAAGGTAAAATAAATCTTAACTTTAGAAGGTGGGTGAAATGACGAAAAATTGTGTCATGAAGAGATTTAAACAAGTGAATTGTTATTACTTAATCCACAAAATAACAGTTTGTCAAGTTTTGACTTCACTTCAACGGGATACATAATTAACCTCTCTTTGTATCATAAATCTGACTATTAAGTTCTTCACCTAACACAAAACATAGTCCACTCGATGTCAAGTCACTTAGACTAGTGGCTATATTCCAACTTAATAGATAGAGTTCGATCAGCAATAAGGATTGGGCAGACATGACGTTGGCTAATGTATACGAAATGATACCGCCAATTAGGGAGTAGTGAATTATCGATCGGATCAATGACGTGTAAAACCCGTGAGAGCAGCCTAGAGTCCTGATTGGTCCTAGCCCAGCCACTTAAGTCCAGAACACCAATCTCAGCCTCTGCAATATGAATCCCAAAAGTTACCATTCTTTATGCTTATCGGGACCTAACACAATGTCTCCGAATAATTCTAATCAAAATAGGCTACTTTACTTCACTTTACATTCCTTATATAAAATCTATCAGTAAGAGAAAGTTTTTTAGCACGACCAGTCGTCTTAACGAACATATTATTCAGACAATAAGGTCGTAAGTTAAATAAATGTACGTTATGTTTTCATATGGGGCCATATGAAGTTAAACTCCACCGGTAGCTCTTCTAGAGTTACTGCCGATTCCAAGCCCTGGCAAAGGAGGAGGGTTGAGAATGGAGTTGGCGACACCACTTTGTTGAAAAAAATCTTGCAAAAAACGCCAATCAGATTAAACATATTAAACCATTTAAACTCTGCTCTCCGAGTTCAAAAAGAAGTATGATGCTTCAGGATAAAAGCCGAGATTCTTTGAATGTCAAAAGACCGATGCTCATAATAACAACCGGAGCAACAATTTTTATAGGGACATGGAACGTCCGGACAATATGGGAGACCGGAATGATCAGTCAAATAGCAACGGAAATGAGGCGATACAAATTGGCAGTACTGGGAATCAGAGAAACCCATTAGACCCAAGCTGGACATAAAAGGTTGGATGCGGGAGAGATGCCGATATACTCGGGTCACGAAGAGGAAAATGCTCAACACACTCAGGGAGTTGCTTTGATGCTATTCAAAGAAGCGCGTAATGCACTTATAGGATGGGAATCTCACGGCTCCATGATCATCAAAGCATCGATAAAAACAAAGAGAGAGGAAACCACAATATATATTTTCTAGTGGTATGCACACACCACAACGACGACAATAAAGGTCAGTTCTATAAGGAGCTTCAATCAATCCTAGCGAATTGCCCAAGAAAGGATCTCACCATCCTGATGGGAAACTCAAAATCCAAAGTCGGGATGGATAACACCGGATATGAAGTTATTATGGGACGAAATGAACTGAATGACAGAGAAAAACGAAAATGGGAATAGATTTGCAAGCTTATGTGCATTCAACAACTTGGTTATAGGGGGCACAATATTCCCACACAAACGTATACACAAAGCTACATGGGTCTCACTGGATCACACCACGGAGAACCAGATAGATTATATTTGTATCAATAAAAGATTCACAAGGTCAATGGAAGACATGAGAACCAGAAGGGGAGCTGACATAGCTTCAGATCACCACCTGGTGGTTGCCAAGGTAAAACTGAAGTTAAAAAAGCATTGGACAGCTGAGGAAACAGCATTACAAAGGTCCAATACAACCTTTCTTTGAGATAATGGAGAACTCAACGAATTCAAGATAATCCCCAACAACAGGTTCCAAGCCTTACAGTATCTACTGAAAGAAGAAGCTATGACGGATGACAACTGGAAAGGGATCAACGTGACAGGAGGTGCTGAGCCCCAAGAAGCATCATCGTAAGGAATGGGTTTCTACCGAAACCCTGAACAAGATTCAAGAACGGAAGAACAAGAAAACTGCAATCAACAACAGCCGAACAAGAGCAGGAGAGGTCAAAGCACAATCTGAACACACAGGAGCAAACAAGCAAGTGAAGAGGAGAATTAGTGATGACAAGCAGAAATACGTGGAAGAGCGAACAACGATAGAGGAATAAACTTCAAGAGAAGGAAATATGAGACAACAATATGACACCAACGAAGAAGCTTGCAGAAAAATGTAGTAAACCAGAGATACCAGTCAATGATAAAGAAGGCAGGCCGATCACCGAGATTCAAGGACAAAGGAACAGATGAGTAGAATACTTTGAGGAACTCTTGAATAGACCACCAGACATCGAAGCAGCCTCTACAGACATTCCTATAGGTGTCACTCCATCAACGGAGGAAGAAAAAAGGATGGCCATCAGACAAATCAAGAGTGGGAAAGCATCAGGACCTGACAATATGCCAGCCGAACCATTAGATTCAGATATACAAGTAACCACAAGCATGCTTCATGAGGAAGATCTTGGGGGAAGAACAAGTGCCGATGAGCTGGAAGGAAGTACACCTCATCAAGATCCCAAAGAAAGGAGATCTGAGCAAATGTGAGAACTATAGAGGCATCAAACCATTATCTGTACCAGGAAAAGTTTTCAACAGTGTTACTGAACCGGATGAAAGACGCAGTAGACGCTCAACTTCAAGATTTACAGACCGGAGTCCGTTTGTGCATAGACCAAATCGCGACACTACGGATCATCGATGAACAATCAGTTCGGTGAAACTTATCACTATACATCAACTTCATTGATTATGAGGCGTTTGACAGTGGATAGAAGGAGTTCGTGAAAGCCAATTCAACACTATGGTGTACCTGAGAAAATCGTCAACATCATAAAGAATTCGTACGACCGACTACATGAAGAAAAGCTGACAGATGCATTATAAGTGAGGACCGTAATCAGAAAAGGCTGCTTACTCTCCCCCTTTCCCTTTCTTCTGGTGGTCGACTGGATTATGAAGACCTCAACATGTAAGGGAAAACACGGAATACAATGGACAACTCGGAATCAATTAGAAGATATGAACTTCGCAGATGACCTAACCCTTCTATTTCATACACAAGGACAGATGAAGATGAAGAAAACTAATGTAGCAGCAGCCTCTGCATCAGTAGGCCTCAACATACACAAAGGAAAAAGCGAAGTCCTCAAATACAATACGGAGAACACCAAACAAATCACAATCGATGAAGAAGCCCTAGAAGATGTAGAATCATCCAAGTACCTAAGAAGCACCATTCATGAACAAGGAGAATTTGATACAGACGTAAAGGCGAGGATTGGCGAAGCAAGGACAGCATTCCTACACGTGAACAACATATGCAACTCAAAACAAATGTCAAACAACATCAAAATCAGAATATTCAGACAGTCTTAATGTATATAGCTGAAACTCGGAGAACTAATACAATCATCAACAAAAATGTACAAGTATTTATAAATGATTTTCTACGCAAGATACTGAATGTCCGTTCACCGGATACCATCAGCAACAATCTACTATGTGAGAGAACAGACCAACATCTTGAGGAATAAGAAATTAGGAAAAGATGTTTGAAGTGGATAGGATATACATTGAGGAAATCACCAAACTGCATGATGAAGCATTCGCTAACTTGGAATCCTGAAGGGAAACGGAAAAGTGGAATATCGAATAACACACTGTATCGGGAATCGGAATCATACATGAAAAGTCTGAATATCAACTGTGAACAACTGGAAAAGATTGGCCAGGACAGTGATTGATGGAGAGTGCTGATGGGTGGTCTATGCTCCTCCACGAGGGGTAACAGGCCTAAGTAAGTTTATAAAATTAAAATGGTAAGTATCCATACGAGAGTAATTTTCATTACAAACTGAAATTAACTGGAGCAGCATCGACAACGATTTCATTCTATTTTAGTACTTCTCACCAATTCATACAACTGACCTGACACAAAATTGAAACTAATATCTCTAAGACCGTCGGGGAGCACAATAACTTTAGTCCATTGAGTGAGAATACAATAGTTTACATACACATTCAATTGGCGATATAGTGTAGTAATCTCGAAATGTCACTATAATATCGACGTTCTCTTTACAGATAACTATCGTTTGAAAGGCAGTGTTTCAAAGCCAGTTGTCTCTAAAGTCTATATCAGTTTAACAAGCATTTACAACTCAAGCTAAACATTGTCCTCATTATTTGTAGTCATAATCCAAACATTCAGAAAGCTGATTAAGATCCACTAAGGGTTAACTGGAATCAGATTTCTTGAGTCATAAACTAATAATTAGAATTGAGACCTGACTAACGTCCTCACATATTCTTCATTATACCAACTTTTCATTAACCACTACTTAAGTATTTATTAGATCGCTCAGCTTAACTTACCGTTTTGCCATTCACACAAATATCTTAACAAGTTTACGAGCAACCATCAGACAAGTTATTCAAAAGGAATCTGCATATTCTGCAGTCATGACATATCACATCTAGTCACTGAAGCCTTTAAACTTATTAGAAAGACTAAACATGTTAAATTCCAAATAGTTTAACTTGATGAACCTGGTAGATCAGACTTTGTTTAATACTTATTTTAAACAATACTACTAATAAATCAACAGTAATATTAAAGTTATTTTAATGATCTAATTATTGTATAGTTTTCTTTTTTTGTTTCTTTTGTCTCTTTATTTTACATGTTAGATTGGTTTAGCAGTTGGTGATATTGACAAGGCTAGAAGAAGTGCAACACAAGAACTAATCTATCGACAAGTTTACTGGTTAGATAGTTTAGAAGCGAATTTCCCACGTTGGTTATATGCTAAAGTTTGTGTTCAAAAATGGTTATTGAAACCAGCTAGACCAAATTTACCAAGAGTAATTCAATTTTTGTCTCTTTCAATATTTTTTTTTAAACGAGGATACTTCCAGCTAGTAGATGTTCGTTTTAATATATTTTAATTAGTAAAACTTTTTAAACGATGTATTCAGTAATTTGCTAATCAACCATAGTATTTTTTGTGCTAACTCAGCTTGAAACGAACAAGTCTGACACTTGAATGATTCACTTTTCAACTGAATATATGGGTTTAAAATAATATTTATGTCACTAAGTATTTATACTGACTAAGTCTCATAGAAAATCCCGCCTCTTTCTATCCAATTCTCATATACAAAATTCTTGGACTTACTATCCAAGTTTGAAGCGATATAATCGGTTTTCTATTCATGAGAGGATTTAGAACTGAAGTACTTGCAAATACATGACCCAAACATCCCTATCGGGATTATGGATGCATACCAGGAAGAAATCCCAAGCTAGGATGACATGTTTGAACGGTCCTGCCTGATTTTCAATGGCCTTTTAGCTTACATCACTTCATGGCAAAAAGTATCTTCAGAGTAAACTAACTTAAGTACAATCAACTAGACAATCATTATCTTTCCTAATATTATTATTAATATTACCATTAGTAAAGATCTTTTTACGATAAATCAGATAACCAAATAATTCTACTTTTTATTTTAATTTATTAAAAGTACGAACGTTCTAGACAAGAACTAAACAAAACTGTCCAACTTTTAAATCAACGGTACGTAGTAGTGTTTTATTTTTTACACCTCTAGAATACTTTTAACATTTCAAGACGGTAATAATCTATATTTTATTCGCTTAAAATTAGGATGATAATTCTAGCATAGAGAGATAATGTGAAAAGGCTAAAAAGGACTAGACCCAAGCGCACCACCAATTCACAGAGTTATTGATTATTGGTCCTATTCGTGTTCGAAAGTTTAGGATCGCTGAATGTATCCCTTTGGTAGGCAACATTAAATGATATAGATCAAAATCACTCAAAGTGACGTAGACTCACCATCTGACTATTTTATTTTAAGTATTAAGTTTTACTGTTAAATTAAAATTCTCATTTCTCAATTTAATTCGCTCTTCCCCAACTGTTTATTTCTTTCTAATATAATTGACACTTCTATATTCCATTCCGTTATAATTTTACTATCTTATGCTTGTTATCCTCATTTGAAAAGTGACGTGGATAGATGTGTATTTGCTCCAGGTTCTATATTTCACATGATACACTGATTCAGGTCGGTAAAATTAATTAAATTTAGACCTGTTTCGGGCTAAATATATCACTTAAATAAACCTGATTAATAAACATTGGAATCTGATATATTACTTGTCCAAGAATTTATACTAGTGACAGATAGCTTGACATGTAGGCAAGCAAGAGTCAGAAGCTTAATTCACTAACTAATTCAAGTCTGTACACTCATAGTATACACTATTAAGTGGAATAGAGCAACTCAGATATAAAAGTAAATATTGTTTAAATTACAATTGTACATCTCAATTAAAAATGTGATTGGAACTAAATTCCTGTCAGTTATTTATTTTCTATAATTTAGACTGAATATAATCTACAAAAAATTGGAATGGTTCAATTATCAATTGCATCAAATCATGCAAAAGCTATCAATACAAACAATGGAAACACTATTGGATACTGGAAGTTACGATGATGTCGGTTAAATACTTTATTTAACCATTTTGGCGACCAGTTAAAGTACAAATTAAGTTAAACAACTGATTCATTCTGCTTACAGACAACATTGTTAAACCGACATTCAGAACCCGTTTACGTTCTGTTTTGATGTTAAATCCTTATCATATACATTTCATTCTTATCCAACCCATCATCATTATTAACTTCAATCATATACCCACATTAGTTCAACTTTATATTGAAATCAAACTAGAATTTAGTTAGTTTTCATGTATGTAATTGTGCTACTCACAAAAACAAATACATAGGCACAAAAAGCGATATAGTATTGAAATCTTCTTGCCTTAATACAGAGTAATGTGAAAACATCAATTTGTTAGTAATAGCATTTTTCCAACAACCCCATTCACCAGGTAATTGGTCATGAGGTACACTCTAGGTGTGAGCGCTAATTTTAGTACCCGGACGTCCAAGCTGAAGTAGATAGAGGTTAGGACCTGAGAATTATGACTGAAAGTTGAATGCATTAGGCACCAAGACACTGCCCCATAGTTTTATTTTAGATTGTGTTGTTGGTAGATTAAAAGAGATCAAACAGTAGACCTAAAATAAGGTTTTATGATGATCGTCGCTGATCACTAAGGTGTATCAACACTCCAAAAAAACTGGATCCTTCTAGAAATAATAGAAACAGAACCTAGAGATCATTACCACTGATATATCCGAGCGATAACTGGGCTCAAATTAGTACTGAGATGATGCAGCAACCAGCCACTCAGTGATAATCAATACGATATTACGTAACCCTCGATTACAACAAAATTGCATTGACGAAGTTCGTACCGCGAATAGCTGAGGTAGTTTCTAACTGCAACTGGCAGAGCACCAATTTCTTTAGGATCGGGAATACACCTTGATGATGAGTTTCAATAAGTATGAAGACTGATTTCAATGACTCTTGATGACTGCTTCTAGCTACTTAACATAAAACAAAGTACAATCAAACACCAAACCACTAAACATAGTGGTTACACTACAAAGTTGGTCGAAAGATTCAATAGTGACATCGAACACCACCCAGGAACCAAATAATGTAGATTGTGGGGTCCAACTAGGACCTTCGAGATTACATGATTCAGAGTTGCTCTAAAACTTAAGTGCCTTATTGTATTTCTCTTATCTCTTCTGTCTTATCCGTGTGATCATGCTGAATGATGTCCTGAATTCCACATCGTTTTGTCTCCTATATTGTTAACGAAAACTGCCTTACCGTGTACATTTGATCGCAGTTTTATTCAATAGTTTTCATTTCCATTAGGATGTATATACATCAACGAACGAAAATCGAATCTGCATTGCTCAATCTTTCGAATATAAGTCTATACTAAGGCTCCTATGAATAGTGTTTAACAAAAACATGATGTACATACGTAAATAACTAGATTTCAAGATATTTTTTCCCCAAAATGATGAATATCTGGCACAACAATATGAATTCTTTGACGTGATATGTAAACCGAGATCTTTAGTTACTTATGTTACCTTGTTAGACTAGAAAGTAGTGTCTGTAAAATCACAGGTATTTTCGAATGTAACGTTATACCAATGGGACCTTGACCTGAAGGATACGGCAGCGATGGGACACTAACCAGACTTTTATTTTACAGAAATAAATTTCGATTGTTATAAGATAAGTAAATAATATCACAAAAATTAGCGAACCAAAGTTCCCCTAATTCTCAAAATAACTGCAGATCATTTCATCTCAATGAAGTGATATGAACTCATAAGGAATGCTCAAAAACCCTATGGTCGTTTAGATACAATATGTTATGTTCATCTAATTACATTGACATAGTTAAGTGAACCCAACAACTACCTATTATTATCTAAGGTTCGCGTGACTACTGAAAGGCTCATCTGACCGATTAGTTGACAATGATATGTGGACAATAACTGTATTCAACAGAAGTATAGATCATTCCATACAATTTACATACATTTATATCTACCGAGTCCATGGTCGATTTTATGACACAGATAACAATAGTTTGATTCACAGTTGAGAAACAACTCCCTGAACATGAGCGCACTAAACTCTCTTTTTTAACCATATCTTTGAGTATTTATCACCGTAGACATTAAATAGGAGATTCAAATCAACTAGCATATCAATTCCAAAACATATCATCAATTTCGGTCACGTAGTAACACGAAACAAAAGAAAAATGAAATAGATGATTGTGTACAGCAAAAGATGTATAGCAATTTTAAAAAAACCAAATATGAACTTAGTTTAAAAGCCTCAAGTCAGACCTGTAGTTGTATCATGATTTCCGAAATCCCTTTCATTATTATTACTGGTTTGTTTCCCTCTTACCTTTATATTCATCAAGAGGATAATTAACTCGAATTCTTCTCATCAACAGATGATTCTCGTTCAAAAATTTCTGATACCTTCTAAATTACTGCTCAACCTCTTTCGCATGTTTGAAATTTTTGAAAAATGTCTTTGTCTATCTTATAATAAACTACTATATCACGACTTCCTGGTTGGGGTCCTAGAGATGGCATAACAATGGCTTGAGATGTTATCAGACATAGCTCAGCATAGAAGCCAGCGGCTATCCTGCTAACTTTCTTCCACTTTCATCATGAGAGTGGATGTACCTTCTTTAACTAAAACGATTCTTTCTGGTTGTATTTTTCCTAGCTGAACTGTTTCGCGCATTATTATTATTTCACTCACATATTTTTCTTCGTTATTGCCCCTCTTCTTATCATACCCTCGATTATCTATGTACAACCTCATTTATATTGTATGGCGCATATGTATTTGGTGCCTTCTTGTACCGATGTTGTGCTAAAATAAATAAAAACTTTACTTGCCAAATAACTATTAATACGAATGTACAGCTTTATTAGCTAGTCTTGCAAAAAAACAAATATTTTTAGGCAATCAGTCCTCACTTTTTTTGCAATGGCAAAACAGGTATATTTTAACTCTCAAAAAGAAAAAAAATCACTCAAATTAGTAATTAAAGTTGAAATTCAAATTAAAACTACAAAATAAGTGATCGTGTTCACTCACTATGGAGAATAATATTCGATTTACAAAAAAGACTAAAATATGTACAGTAATTAAGCGTACTATGGGAATGTAGTGAAAAATCAATGTACATAAATAAACAGCAAATGAAGATGGATTTACCTCATGAGTCTGAAGATCATTAGGAAAAAAGTGAAAGATAATACCATTACTAATTTTGGGAATTATATTAACCGGTTTTTAAACAAATTATCCTTAGCCATCAGTGTTGGAATCGATAAAATTTGGTACAACATTAGCATCAATTATATCGGAAAAAATTTCACTACATTGTGTTAATTTACTAGAACAGGATATTTCCTTATCTGTTTTTTCAGAATAAGGAGGTATATTCCATACACTCTTTGGTAAACTATCCATTTCAACAGGAGAAAAACATTGCACACGCATACCCTCAAAATCTCTGTATTCCTTGACTTTATTTCTTGAAGACCAAAGTAGATAATATTCTTTGCCAGGACTTTGAACCACTGACTCCAAGGCAGTAATATAAGCTAGTTCCTTAGCAATCTTTAGACTATCTGAAGCACCTGAAGCAATTAACTCCTGGCGAGCCTCTTTCCATCCATTAGAGAACAGTACCACACGGGAAAGTATACTAGGCGACCAATTGGTAAATAGTAAATTATTTAGAAGAGCTGGAGCGCAATGTGGTAGCATAACGAAATAAAAACGATCAGGTGATAATTTATAACAACCTTCTTCATTGTTCGGTAGAATCTAGATAGAAAAAAATCAGATTAGATTTAAACGACGTTCTCAATAATAGATATAGCAACCATAAATTCTCGATTCATTCCACGAATGTGTAGATAGCACTTTGTGCTATTTGTTCGTGTCATACATCTGGGTAAACTAAACGAAATGGCAAGTTTGACTGACATTCGTCATTGTATGTTTATTCACTGATGTACAGTAAGCTAAATTTATTATTATTGGTTAGATAGACCTTACTTTATCATCGAATTATCATTTTACTAACCATAAAGTATCTAGTACATGTACACAATAAATGCATAAGAATGGCTAACAAGACGGTTTGGCCAACTTTCTATTCTAGTCTATAATGGTGTCAACAAACTTAATGCAAATAAAATTATGCAGATATTCAGCTAAGGTTTAAGTGCCTAACTTTCGAAAACCAGGTCAGATTTAAACTGACTTCGTCTTAGTAATAAACCATCGAATAATAAAAAGGATTAACAGTGAGTACAATTTCCAAGGATTCCAGAGACATTTATTCCCTGATATTCTCACAGTTAAGTCAACTAAAAAAAGAGACAAGGTAAGGACTTGGGACGGATGTCACAAAATACCAACACTCATAATGAAAAACAAAACAAATAGACTGATACGGTAAACTGAAGGTGATTCACAAGATACTGTACGAGACATTAACGAGCTACACGGGCTCCGTCCTATACCAGTTCACTAACTATAATTTTAAAACAACCTGCTGGAGTCGTTACGATACATCTTTCAGTCAACTATATTTCTCTAGTTTGAAGATTTCCCGAAAACGTTTCAGACCTTACATCACATACCTTAGTATGGTATGAATATGATTCGAATAGTTCTACTTGCATTCAAGAATTCACTACACAATGCCAAACTAAGACGTTGCATCAGTCCACCAAGTCATTGGTTAAGTTTGAGATACGTTGGTCGGAATCCAAGCGATGAAATATACCAGTGGTTAGAGACGTCATGTTATAAGGCTCAGAGATTGCCACAATAGCACAGGTAAATTTATTCTTTACCTTACCATAGGTCCTGGACTCCGGTATTTAATCGCATCTACCTTTCCTATCTTAAGGAACCACATTCTTAATATGTGCGATTGTCATAGCTGTTATATTACTGAGAATCCTTTACTGTTAAGTTTATTACTTTTGTCTCATCTCGCTGTGATGCATTTTGGGCTAAAGCACATCTGTATTGGGTTTTACGTCCATTATTTATTTATTTGAACACACAAATATTGGTACAGGGGGGCACCAAATATATATGCGCCACACAAAGTGCGGACCGCCCCCGGGTGGGCTCGAACCACCAACCTTTCGGTTAACAGCCGAACGCGCTAACCGGTTGCGCCACGGAGGCGACGTCCATTAAACGTGACTGACTTGATTTGACATATTTGTACATATATCTAAAAGAATGCTTACTATGAACTCAGCACACTTTTACATCACATTAAAATATACTCACGTGCATTCCAAGCTTTCTTATTAAAGCACGAGCAACAGATTTGAAAACAGGATCATACAGGTGAGTACGTGATCGCTCCATACGTGGATCAAACTGCAACAGAAGATCTAGTACAACTAACTGACGTAAACTGGAATGATGGACAGCCGGGTTACCCAATCCTAAACAAACCACATCAATCCTACTTGGCTCAGTCTGTTTATTTGATATAATTGTGAACGCCTGATTGATAGACTTTAATAAACCCTCCAGAAAATTCCTGTCTGGCTTCGAAAGTAGTAAACTAGACCGGATACCATCAAATCTACCTGAAACCGTTTCCAGGCTGTCATCATCCATGTAATCTAAAGTAACATTGGGTTTCTGAATAGCAGGACGTCCCACTGGTCGTGTAGCCTTGAGTTTACGCTTTGTTTTACGAGAGCAAACACGAAGCCACTCCTCAGAATCTTTATCATCCAAACACATCCCAAGTCTTTTATTTTAAAAATCAAGGGACGTCTCTTACGAACGCATCAACAACTAGGGCAACGCTTCATGGGTATCGGTCAGCTAAGCAGGTTGCGAGCACTTGAAGGTCAAACTGTCTCAGAATGATTGGTGCGTCACGTCGACAATTCGTGAGGTTTTTCAGAGGCGGTCAAATCAATACATTTTTAGATTTGAATTGAGTTCAGCCGCACCATGTCTGATAACGTCCATCTTTCAAGTAACGGAGATGGTGCCATCGTAGTGATGCATGATATAGGACGAATCTTCAGTGATATTATGCTATCTCGGAGATTTACAAGTTGAAACAATTCTGAGACCTGTTTGAAAGAAGTACATAACCCGAGCTACCAATTTTGGGGAAACTCTCGAGGTCAAACGACCTTCACCAATGTTTGGGGAAATCCCCAAAGTCAAATGCCCTTGACCAGGGTTAAAGTAGAATCTTGGGGAATTTCCCCATGTTTGGGGAAATTTTGGGATTTTTGTGCTTGGGTCATATCATTTCATATGAAAATAAGTGATTTTTCTGCCCTGAGTGTTTAGTTAAGTAGAAATAGTTGCTTGTCTGCGATGCAAATACGAAAAAACTATTATAGCAACACCTGATTAGTGAACTTTCAAGGACTTCGGGATACCATGTACCGAAAAATGGAAAAACCCCTTTTCACTTAATTGTGAAGACGGAAAATAAACTTTCAAATTTATTTATAATTAATTTCAAATTTTGGCTGTGCACAAAGCTGAAATGAAAACGTAGTGCAAAAAATTGTCGCGATACCCCTGGAGCTTTGCCAACAACTAGTAGATAACTAACGCGAATTTGCTTTTTGTCTTTTGATAACCCTGAGTCTCGGTTTCGGTTTTGAAAGGACGGGGTGTTGAGTGGCTTGTGTTAGTCTTGAGAGTGGTCGTTTATTTTGAAAGCTCCGACAGATTGAACTTCTGTCATGTCAAGCTTTCTCTTAAAAGACTCAGATATCAAATTTTTGTAGTAAGGACAGAAATTCTACGGCCTGTAGAGGTAAATAAATCCTCAAAATAAATAGTTCTGTGAGCTTTCGACATTAAAATGCTGACCACATTAGTTTTAATGGACTCACCTGACTGAAGGCGCTCGGTCAAGCATTTGCACCAGATCACGAGTGTGAACGCCGTGCTCAATATCCCATAAAATCGCCAGCCAGTATAGATCAGACGATCCTCGATATATTGATAGCTTATTAAATATATCTTCGAACCTCCTCGCTTCTCTCTTTTGATTTCGCTTGGTGGGTACGGCTCATATTAGAAGGTGTTACTGCTTAAAGCGTTGTCAAACTCCGAATATCTGTGGCATTGTCAAGGTTTAGCTTTTCAAGCCTTTCTTGTATGGTGAACCTCGAAGTCCTGGAACTCCACGGGTAGCTGCTCTCTACACTTTTCCAGGATATCCGAGTCACCTTTTAAAAAGAGGCTTGTAGCCTGAAAGCAGTTTTCAAGCCTAATTCTCACATAAGTTTTGTATACTATAGTGAACATAGTGGCATCCAACTTGGTGAGTGTCCGTCTTAAAGCCCAGAGGGTTCTCAACCCCTTGACTGAGATCTCCCGACAATGGGCCATAGTCTTAATATCATGACTCACTATCACCTTATGATCCTTATGAGACCGAACCACGGGTACAGGCACTTCCCCTATGCTGTAACTATTAGCCTCTGTATCCGCAATGTGCATGTAGACAAACTTTGCCGCTTTGATAGATATCTGCTCAGAAATAGTTGGCCATAGCCTCTGCTTTTTCTCGATCTTCTGTCGTTTTAGATTCACCCCCTTTTTTAATTAGGTTGGGAACCAAATGATGCATCTTTGTTCTGCAATTTACGTATGAGAAAAGTGAGAAATTGTGCCAATTGCATTTCATATTTTCTCCAAGCTTCCAGGGTTTTAATTATAATTTTTTTTCTTACCAACCTGTATTGTTCCATCCTATTTGCTGTGCCAAGGCTGGAGGCAACATTCCGACATTTCTTCTTTTGTCTTTGTAAACGCCAAATATCTCGGCCTATCAAGAGACTGCCGTGCTTCTTTTTTCGGACTGTCCAGGGTATAAATAGTTAAGTTACCCGATTTTGTAACTGCCTGAAATGAGTCCATGCTTACTGTACTGATACCCTTGAGTCGATTTCCCAGTTTTCAGCCGATGTTCCATAGTTGATTGCCTCGATGTCTCCCTTCCCTATGTTAGGACGGGCGGGCGCAATTGTTTGACAGGCCATCTCAGCCATGAATAACTCAGACGTTGACCATGTTTCTGAGACAGCAATAACATCCGGTTTTTCTTTGTCCAGCATTGTCTTGAGCTCCGCCATTTTATTTTTAGGCTGAAACATTTGTGAAGCACATTTTAAATTCTATGGAGAAATTTACCTTACCACCTAGAGTGATTTGGGGGTCTTTTTGCTACGAACTTTTACGATTTGAAAACCTTTAAGTACGAGGTTTCTTTCACCGTTTCGGCGGCGCTCCTTCATTTCCACTTCTGCAGTTCGTCTCTTAATACGATCAATCAGGTTGAGATCCGCGCGGACGTAGATTCTGGATCCATTCAGTTTGCGTTCTCAGTATCAGTTTTCTTTCTTCAACCGTATCAAAGGTAACTTTCAAGAGACGGTCTTTCTGAGTACTTTCAGAATCCACCTATTGTCCTATTCTATAAAGCTTACAGATGCTAACTCCTGAAAGTGATTTTGGGAGTAGCATGCTTATTAAAAACTTAACGTGACTGGGGTCGTGCTCAAATATAGCCTTTGGTTCATTTTCGGAAGATTCTCTTAACTTATGAAAAATGACTGACCTCTCAGTGAGGTCCATCTTAACACACTGTGGAATTTTAGTTTCTGAAATCGTTTCTTCCCTACAGTTTGATTCCAATTTAGCGTCAAACGCAGTAGTCACATTCTGGCTTCTTACTTTTCTCTTCCTAGGTATGACTGTGAGCCACTCATTTATTTCATTTTGTCTCTTTATCACATCCTCTACACCGCTTAGACTTGGCTGCCCCATAGTTTGTTTGATATGTGAGTCCGGAACTGAAACCGTAGATTTACATACCTTATTACTGTCTATAAGTAGTTTCTTCTTAGTGCACGTTTTCTTTTTCCTTGTGACAATGCTTATATCGCTTGGACTAGCTCAGTCGGCGACCAATTCCGTCATCAGACTACTCTGATGTAGTGGGTGGGTCCGTTATTCTATGTGGTGTCTCCAGTTTCCGGGTGTTACCCCTGAGGATTTTGTTGGGATTGAGCGTATGTCGGTATCCAAAAAAGTGACCAGAAGTGTTTAGGGTGCTGTAAGTCATTAGAAGGTCACCTCTGAGGCATCTATACTTTAATGAGTAAAGATTAAGTAATTTAGGCGCCATTCATAAGACTTGAACTTGAGTCCCCGAACTGATTTCGTGACTCGCTGTTGGATACGTTCCACTGTAATCATCTTCCTTCGGAGAGGGAGAGGATACACTATATTTCCGCATTCTAAATAGGGTCTACTAAAACTGTCGAAGATTGAATGGAAAGTTCTACTGTTGAAGTGGCCGAAAATTCGCTTCAACGTTACTATTACAAGGTTTGTCCGAGTGACCTTCTTGTCGCAGTTAGCGTGAGATTTCAGATCACAGGGTACCAACACTCGTAGATCTTTTTCGACTTGAAATACATCTGGAGAGGAGTTGCCTTATTTGCATGAGTAGTTGGTAACATGTCACAGATGGACTACTTTACAATTTGAAATGTCAAAAGCAGGTATGTTGTTGTCCGCCTGACTTTATAATCTAGTCAGATACTCCTGAAGTAGCAGATTATCATCTTGGTTGCAAACGTCTCTCCAAAAAGCGCCTACAGAATTTGTAAGTCCGTTTCTAGTAAACTTCTGTGAGTGCTTTGCCTTCTCTTAAATCAGTCGATTGAAGGGACGGACAACAGTTCCTCGGGTAGCAGGTCCAAAGGACTGATGACTTGATCTGAAAACCCGTATGCCACGAGTATTTTGATCGTTCTTATCTTTTGTACTCACCCATGTCCTCCGAGTTATCATGTTCTGGTAAGAGAGGAAAGAAAAGACATTTAAGATCCAGGGTCATTTTTAACACTCAATATAACAATTTCCAATCACCCCCTAATGTGAGGCGTGATAAAAAGGAGGTCTAGCTTCTCAAGCCGCTCTGTGTATGGCAAACCTTGGGGTTTTGGAATTGTACAAGTGTCCATCCTCTGAACTTTTTCCAAGATATCCAAGTCACCTTTTAAACAGGGGTCTGCAGCCTGAATGTAGTTCTCAAGGTTGTGTATACTTTAGTGAACATGTTAGTGTACAACTTGATAAATGTCCATCTTAAAGCCTATACAGTTCTGAAGCCCTTATCTGCGACCCCGCGGTAGTGGGGTGTGGTCTTAAAATCATGGCTCACTGTCACTCCGAGATCCCTATGAGACCATACTATGGGAACCGATTCTCCTCTCATGCTGAACCTATTTATCTGTGTGTCCTCAATGTGCACGTAGACACACTTGGCCTCATTGATAGGGCATCAGCCATTATTTAGACCAGCTAATTAGGACATCAAAGTCCTCCTGAAGTGCAAATGAATCTGTGTCTACTGTTATTTCTCGCCAGGTTTTTACACTATCGGCGTATAGTAGCATCGGGGACTCAACTATACTTGGGATTTCTTCTATATACAGTATCAAAAGTAATAGACCAAGAACTCAGTCTTGTGGTACCTCTCTTAGTATTGGATTCTAAGAGAAGCACTTGGAATTTATTCTTGATTTCTGTTTACGACCTACCAATAAATCCTTAATCCTTTCTAAGAGACAATTCCCATATTTTTCCAGCTTCAAAAGTAGTCAATTCTTCGGTACCTTATCAAATGCTCTACTGATGTCTACGTAGACAACATCTATCCATTTCCCATTACCCAAAGCCTCTGTGTATCGTTGTCGTGCAAGCTCATTCTTTCCTAAAACCATGTTATTCGCTGTTTAATAAGTTGTTGGTTCCCATGAACGACATTGTGTCCTTGTAGAATTATGGTCTGCTATGATATTAGCAC